TATTTTTATCGATTACGTCAAATATTTATTTGTTTAATGGATGGAATTCATGCTCAACATATACGCTATAAATTCATAGATTTTTCTTTTCGTTTAATATTTTGAAATAATTTGTCTCAACGATGGAAACCTATGAATGAATATTGTTTTTTAGGTATTTTGGAAAAAGAACAAGAACAAAGTGTTGTATACGGTTCAACGGATTTCGGTAAAACGTGTGCAACTAATGAGAAATATAAAGAATTGGTAAATGAAATCTTATTTTTATTTGTTTTCAAAATAAGACAAATCTTATGTTTTATCAGTTAGAAAAAGTGTCAGCTATGCTTAAAATTAAACCACATACAATAAAAACAGAAAAAGGTGATGTTGTCGAATTGTTAACAGCTGTTGAATGTAAAGGCATTGTTGGCAATGATGGACGACATTACTTGTTAGACTTATTACGTATGATGCCGCCTGATTTGAATTACTTACCAGGTTAGTTAAAATTTCTCATTAAAAGCTTGACGACTTTAAATCTTTTCACACAGAGAGTCGAGCCGATCATTTATCTTTTTATAAGATAGAAGACAGATGGTTGACTCTACTAATCACCAGTTGACAAAAAATGAATACAATTGATCTTTATATTTACATCTATTGTCCTATAATCTCTAAAAAATCTTCATTTAATGATGAGGGTAAAGCTCTATTTCTTAATCAAGGATCACATCATTTTTAAAACAGAACTATGTACAACAGTGCTGAAAACGGATATGACTCCAACAAAAGATCTGACATGTTCTTTTTTTTTATATAGATTTTGTCTTTGAGGAAAGCAGACATTAAATTTATTTTTAAATGTTTAATTTTGATGCTAGTTGATATGCATAAATAGTTCTAAAAACTTAAACTTAAATGTGTTTTATTTAGTTGATGTCGAACATATTTCACCAGCCATGAAACAATTTGACTATCCTAAAACACATAAACATCGATTATGTTGTTTAAGACAAGAACTAATCGATGCTTTTATCGAGTAAGCAAAACATTTTCAAAATAAAAACTCATCTATAAACAAATTATTCGCAGACAAAAATATGTGGATTTTTACCGTTCAATTGCACTTAACCTATCGAAATTACGATCAACTGAAGTATGTGAATAATTTGAAAATATAATTCATTGTTATTTATATTATGCCTATATTTAGTCCTCGACAGCAAATGACACTACTCAACAAACAAATGTTGAAGAAGTAAAACGTATTGTCAATGAAATTAGCGGTATGATTAATCTATAGATAAATAATTATATATACATTTGTTTTATTTTTAGTCGAAGATAATAGCCGCGAAATAATACAATCAGCATGTCGTGCAATTGGATCAGTAAAAGACAATGAATTCGATGTTCGTTTTAATCCTGATCTATTTCAACCACATGTCACATTAAATCAAACGGTATAGAATATTAGTTTTAATTTTTTCTTGAAAAATAATTATACTCTGATTTATTTTTCTCTAGCCTGCGGAAATAGCAGCTGATATAAAATTATTAAAAGAAGCTGCTGAATATTTAGTTTTAAAACAAATTCCATTAATGATACAAGATTTTCAAGACCATTCAGCCGTACCAGTCGATGGTGAAAGTCTATCAGAAGCTATGCATTCAAGGTATTGAAAGGTTAAACGTTTTTTCAATGGTAAATTTTCTTGTTTAGAGGAATTAATATTCGTTATCTTGGTCGAGTAGCACAACTTCTCAATCAACAACCAGCTCTATTCTATCTTCATGTAACTGAATTTTTTTATGAATTTGATTGTTTATGCATATACATATATATATATATATGCATGCGTACATATAGGGCATTGCTGCAACTGAAATTCTTTGTCGAAGTGCAAAACATCTTTTCCGTAGTTATGTACAATCCGTGCCAATTCATCTATTATCATTTTCAATAAGTCATTTTCTAAATTGTTTTCTAACCATTATAAATTCACCGTCATCGGATTATTTATCTGATGAACTGTTAACATCATCGGCGTCTGCAACGTCAACAAATAATGGTACAACAAATACAAATTCATCATCATCATTGTCATCATCAAATGTAGCTAATTCTTCAACTCAAAAATCTGCGAATAAAAAGAAAAACAAGAAACATCAACAACGTAAACAAAATCCATTAATGAGAAATGGTAAGACGAAAATATAGATAGACGATTTATCAAATGCAAAACTTATCTGATGAATCAAATTTTTAAGTTATTCGAGAGGACTCTATTATGACATTTTAAAGTCCATGTGATTCTTTAGTTAGTCACAGATTAACGATTAATAAATAGTAAAATCACCGTAGTATTCTTTTAAAAAAATAATAATATATACACAAAATTTGATTATTAAATCATTTACTTTTCTTATGTTTTGCAATGCTTATGTGTAGTTATGATAAAATCCCACGTGACATTGATTATTCCAAGAGTTTTCTTTGAAGCGCTTGTTTTTTTTAAATTGTCTTTTAATCGAGATTACTTTTTTTTTTAAGAATCATTAGATTTCTTATCGTTAACATCAAAAGCAATTTGGTCACAATTAACCAATGAAGCTAAATCAAGATATAATTTCGACTTAAACTGGTAAAAAAAGAATAAACATTAGAATCTATTTCAATTTCTTATGCTTTTTCTCTTGTTTTGTTTTTAGTGATGATATTGATAGCTTCCTTGAAAAATATAATGTTCGTCGTACTTGTATTCTACGTTCATTGTGTTTGAAAACTGGTTTACAATTAGCAATGCGTGAATTTCAATTTGATCAAACAAATAAATCTAACCGTACTGCCAACGAATGCTTCAACGAAGACGATATTATTAATATTTATCCTTTAATTAAACAAGTTCCACCAAAAGTACATAAATCCTCAATTATTGAATTTAATCGATATCAACTATTTCTTTTTTTTTTATATAGCCAAGTGATGCTTATCAATTTTTTACAACTGGTCAACAAAAAATTCAACAAGGTTTACTTCGTGAAGGCTTCGAATTGATATCTGAAGCACACAATTTATTAAATAATGTCTATGGACCTATGCATCCAGAAATTAGCATGTGCTTAAGGTTGTTAGCAAGATTAAACTACATTATGGGTGATTATCAAGAAGCACTTTATACTCAACATAAAGCTGTTATGATGTCTGAGCGTGTGTTAGGTATCGATCATCCTCAAACAGCCACTGAATATGTAAGAATCATCTAAGGGAACATCAGTAAAAAGAAGCAACATTTATTTTTAAATTTTAAATTAGATTCACATGGCACTTTATTCATTTGCAAATAACCATTCAATAAATGCATCGAAATTACTCTGTCGTGCAAGATATATCATTTTAGCATGTTGCGGAGAAAATCATCCGCAAATTAGTTTAATTGATGTAAAGAGATTAATTTTTTAATTATTTATGATTACAGACTTTTTCTTATAACATTTATTATAGAGCAATCTTGGATTAATTTTACAATCATATGGTGATTATGAAAATGCATTGAAATTTATGGAAAAATCACTTGAATTGAATAAACAGTAAGTGTGAAGTATTTTATAGTAACAAAATGTGATTTTAAGTATGAAAATTCCTAAAAAAAAATATTCGATTGGTTCATTCAACGTTCATAATATTCATAGCAATTGTTGATAGTAAAGCTTTTCTTGCATAATGTTTTCAATAGAAATGTTATTCAATCATTTGTGATTCCTCTATACTTTAATCACGTTTTTACAGAGCATTCGTACAAAAATAAGAGCTTTATTAATTATATAAAAACCCTCTAAAAAGAAGCATGCGTCGACAATCTTTTTATTTGTTTTCTTTTATTAGATTTTATGGCTTAAAAAGTCTTAAAGTTGCTCTATCCCATCATCTTTGTGCACGTATTCAATCATGTCGTGGAGATTTTCGATCAGCATTAAGCAGTGAACGGGAAGCTTATCAAATATATAAATTACAAGTAAACAAAAACAAAAATAACAAAATAGAATTATTCATCGGTTTAATTCATTTTTATTTTTCTAAAATTTAGCTTGGTGATGAACATGAACGAACACGTGAGAGTGCGCAAGTACTTCAACATTTAACTGAACAAGCTGTTGTCTTACAAAAACGAATGAATGATGTTGTGAAAGGGCAATTACTGATGATACCAAGCATAACTGTATGCAGATTTGTGTGCATGCGCGTTTATAAACTAATATTTATGAAATCTTATATTTAGATTCAACAACCAAGTTTTCAAAACGTTCTCGAAATGCTTAATGTTGTTAATGGTATTTTATTTATACAAATTCGTGAAAAAGATCTTGATTTATTACGTGAAGAATTAGCCAAACAATCAGTTGATGAACAACAACAACAAGCAACATCAACACCTTCTACTAAAACAATATCAGAAGCAGCTGAAGCAGCAGCAGCATTGATGAATGATGAAGTTGATTAAAATAACATTACAGGCCATGAAACGTACTATTTTGTTTTGCCTAATAGTCTGATACATTTTTGTAGTTCGTAGGCCAATTTTTTTTCTATATTTGTGTGCGCGTGGGTGTGTGGGTGTTTATTTGTTTGTTCGTTTGTTTGTTTGTTAAAAACCTCTTGTTGTCTAGTCTTTTGTGTTTGGTAGACCCAGTTATTTAGTTTAACACAATATCCTATTGACAGTGTGATCATGGTTTTTTTTCTTCTTTCATTGAGTTACATTAGGCAAATGTGGTAAGGAGTGATCGGAAAATTCATAGCCGATTATTCTATCTGACTTATTTGTTTTTTCCGAAAAGTTCTCCTGTTTATTGATCGATCCGTTTAGATCTATGAAAGCTGTTTTTGTTTATTTTTTTTAGTAAATACATATACAACAACAACAAAAAAAAAATAGAAGAATGTTTTTTGCTTTTGTCTAACACAACGCAGTTGTCTAAGTTCTTTCGTTTTACAGAAGCGAAAACAATACTAATTCATGGCTTTGAATGGATCAATTTCGATTATTTGGCTCGATGCTTATATTGGCTTAGCTGATGAATGTAAAGGAATAAAGAAATTATTTCAATCTGAACTTGCATCAGCAGCAGCAATATTTCCGGTTCCAGTCGATCCAATTAATGAAATGATTTGTTGTATCAGTGAATTAGCAGCACCTATTTCATTTGCACCGTCAATACCCGATGCATTAGACCTTATTGAAGCACATTTAGGAAATGAGGAAAAAGTGATTGTAATTACTTCTGGTTCATTAGGAAATGATCTTATTTCTGGCATTCAAGAGCGAAATTTTGACATTCATTCCTATTATATATTTTGTGGTAAAATAATGAATCATGTTGAATGGGCATCAGAAAAACTTGCCGATGGTCTTGACATCATCATGTTTGATTTTGAAATTGATCTTTTGTTACGGTTATCCAGAGAATTGAGTAAACAATTGATTGAAAACGGTAGAAATTTATTAGGCAATGATCCTCATTCAGCTTTAAAATATTTTGAGTGTGCTCGTGCATTAGCTGAAAAAGCAGTTGAACGTGATGCACCAAAAGACGAAAAAGATACTCATCGTCCATCGATTAGCCATCGGCGACTTTTAGATGGTGACAATGGTCTTATTGCGCAAGCAAAACGAGCTTGTAATGATACAAGTAATTCATAATATTATTATTTATATTGTGGTACGTGAGCCATCTCAATTGTAATTATATTTATTATCTCTGTATATTCATATTTATATTTCAATTAACGAATCTTTTTATGTATATGCTATATCTATATAATCTTGATTGCTTTCTAATAAATTTTCCAAATAATTTTTTAAATATTTCATAACAAACTGATCGCCATATTTATTGTTTGTTCCAAAAGTTTCAAGTACTAGTGACGGTATGCTTGCGAATAATCAAAAAAAAACATACGGAAATTCCACCGAGACTAAAATAAGCAATCATAACCACACTAACAGCTGTTACTAGAAAGATCAATGTTAATCGAGACCAAAAGTCTCGGTTAAACTTCAAAAACTTGCTTAAAAGGAGCTGCATTACTTACCAAAATAAGTTACTTAAAGGAAAACACTTGTCAAGGTCATGTTATGAGTTAGATTATTTCATATTTATGCGCCTCGATGACGTATCCATATGTAAGACTTGAAAATGCATGCATAGTTGACTACTTTGTTTTTACTCAAATAAAAAATGGTGTATTTGTGATGTGCCTTCTTAATGAAATTTTTAAGTTTCAGGATGCCATAGTAATTTTATATAGTCGAATTATTAATAGAGAAAAAAGAAGAAAAAGAAAAAGAAAATACGTTAGTAAATTATGTTGAAACAATCCCGCTATCCTTCTACTTGACAAATACGAAGCAGTCTTTTCGTCAAGAATTTTCTTTCTTTTTTTAATATGGGCTGTGATCAGACTAAAATTCGTTCTCCTGTTGCAAGTATTCATCGAAATAGTAATATTGAACGTAAATCAGTATTTTCATATAATTCTGATGAACATCATACACTATCCATTCTCCCTGAGGTTCCTCCTAGCGATTTATCGCCAATAGATAAAGATGCATTTACAACTACGGTTTGCCAACAACGACAAAAGAGTATTGACAATCTGGTTTACAGGGAAACTATTGATAAGTGGAAACCTTCATCTATTGAAGCACTTGTTAATTCTATTCAAGAACTTTCTGCTAATAAAAATAAAATCGATCAAGCTTGGATAATTTTCTATTGGATTAGTGAAAATATCAGCTATGATACCGATGCATTTTTTAGCAACCAAATTGGAACACAAGATGCTATTAGTGCGTTTCAAAATAGAACAGCAGTTTGTGACGGTTATTCATCATTATATGCTGAATTATGCAATAGAATTGGAGTTCAATGTTTTAAAGTAAATGGATATGCAAAAGGATTCGAATTTGATCCACGTCAAATGAGTTTTGATGAGATAAATCATGCGTGGAATATAATTATACTAGAAGATGATCATTCTTATTTTGTTGAGCCTACATGGGGTTCAGGTTATGTCGATAAAAAAACGCATAAATATAAAAAGAAATTAGTTTCCGATTATTTTTTATGTCGACCAGAACATATGATCTATAAACATTTGCCTACAGATCCCGATTATCAACTTCTTACACATCCAATAACCATAGAACAATATCTTATGTTACCTTACGTATATCCAGCATTTTTTACGTACGATTTACAAATCGTTTCACCTGCTTATTCGGCTAAAGTTGATCTAGTTAAGGATGAATCATACGGATTGGTAATAATTAAAACACCAAATAGTACTATAGAATTATCCGGTTCTCTAGAAGACGAAGCAGGTAATAAAATTGAAGGTGGTCATTTAGTTTATTTAGATAAAGAAGATCAAACACTATGGCGTTGCCAATTTGCTCCACCAAAAATTGGAAAATACAATATTTTTATTTTTGTCGGACAAAAAAGTAGTCAAGATCAACATTCGGCTGCTGCTGTTCAATTTGCTTTCGATGTCGATCATCTTCCATTGCCACCTATTTCTTATCCTCATATATGGTCAGCATTTTTCGATGATAACATAGAAATCATCAAACCGAAAAATTCTCGCTATATTGATTGGCCATCAAAAGCCAATACTGGATATTGCAAAATTCTAGTACGTTCGTCTGATAAAGTTTATGTATCTGCAGGATTGAAAGATGGTTTGACAGGTAACAACGTTACAAATGGGACATTAGTTAATTTCGATCATGAAACACATATTTGGCATTGCCTTTTTGCTCCATCAAATACTGGTGTTCCGTTTGAACTGACTTTGTTTGCTCGACGTCCGAACGAAGACAAATCGCATTCTGTTGCTGAATTCATTTTACGACCAATCCCTAACAATGCTCTAACACAATCTATGACATTTCCTGAAAGATTTCTTCCATTTTGTAATGCCAAATGTCTTTTGATTGAACCGTTAAATGGCGTACTCGAAAGACAATCTTTCGTGCATTTTCGCTGCCAAATTCCTGGTGCACAACAAGTAAATGTAACCGTCGATGGCGAATGGATTGAAGATGATCCATGGAAACCGAATGAAAATGATATGTTCGATGGTGTTATTCAAGTCGGAAACAAAGAAGTTATTATCTATGCCAATTTCGATTCTAAGAGTGAATCATACGGTGGGCTCTTGAAATATACTGTCTCCTAATACTTGAAAATAGAAAAGAAAATCAATCAGCTATTTCACATAAATAAAGATATCATTCAATAGTTTTGTAAAAATTTAGAAATAAACTACAAAAGAGATGTTCTTTGATAGAAATTTTGTCTAATATAATGCATAAAACTTCTGTCCTGTTCTCACCATTTCCGCTGATTTCCATTGGTAATGCTATGTTCCTTCGAAAAAATCCACTAATATTGAATTGACAATAGTGACGACGGCTTTTTTATTGTGTACAACTATGTAGAATTACTAAAGCTCTTATGATTACTAGTACTATTTAGCGAATATATTTTGAAAAACAAACTACACAATGTTTTTGTATGCTTGCGCAGACATATGCGTCATCAAATACATTTTAGAAATCAACAACAAAAAATCTTACGGTACCTGTTATGACTGACGATAAGTGAAATGATGAAAAGCAGTAAACTCATATAATATTATTACTTGTTGCTGATGAAAATTCACCATTAAGTATTGCAATCTAACTTAAAGCTGCTGCTATTTGCAGTCAAAAAAACTGTTTATTGATGTTTCCTTTGTTTAGAATATCGCTCAACATAAGAATTTCATGAAAACTCGTCTGAAACCACATTCAACGATTCTAGTTTGTTTTCTTTCTTTCATGTATTTTTCTCTTGATAAGATAAGGTTGCGTAGCGGAATAATTGGCCGTCTAGTGCAATAAAAGTAGTTAAAAACAAAGTTACAACAGATATAAATTTGACAGTTTTATCGACATTACGTCAAGTGTGTTGGTTGATTGTGTATCTTAATAAATAAAACAAAACTACTTGCTTTATGGGTTGCATATTTAGTAAAACGACCACGGGGATTCCAACGGTAAATGGTTCCGTTAAAAAAAGTTCACCTCAGAATATTAAATACACTCAAGAACAAGATACTTGCACTCAAATGCCATCATCGATGTTATTCGAACAGCAAACGAATAAAAAAGTTAAAGATGAAGGGCGACCATCGAAGTCAAATACATCAACTACACAACCACAGATCAATGAAACGCCAGTCTCATATAATATCAGACAAGCAACCACAGCACTTGTCACAACTGACAATAGACCAATGTCAACTGACTCAACGAAATCGATCGTTCATCAAAAAATGATTGTTTCTAATACGGCATTAAATCGATTACATAAACTAAAAAGCCATCAGGATATAGATAGTATTAGCTCAATATCGGCCAAATTGCATAATTTAGTTCAATTTCGAAAAACTCGTAACGATGTCGTCGTTGAGTCATTCATATCAAACAATTCGGAAGATATTGTTCCCAATGACACACCAAGTGAGTCAAATTCTCATACTAACGATGCTACCAGTTCGTCATCATTCTTGAGCAATACTGAAAAGGCAGCTATGCGACAAGAGGCTTTGATTAGATTTATGTCCGCAAAATCAAAACATAATAGTGCTCATCTGAAATTATCATTAAATGATAACTCCATTGATTCAGATGAATCCTTTCCAATTTATAAAAGTATCAGTAGTTCAACAGCATCAAATGGCGAAGATTCATTGATCCAACAAGAAATCACCGATCAAGCTACAATGGTCGATAGACTTCCAATGGAAGGTCAACAAGAAGTTATTACTAATGGCAAATCCAACCAGTCAGATACGGCAGACTTAAATTTCGGCACGAAAAATAATCCTAGATCAAATGACAAAGAAACAATTTCAGTACCTCGAATATCAGTGATAAAATCTCTATCTCCTCGTGTCGTGATCGAGTCGAATATTCAAAAACAAACAATTGTTTACGAAGTTTCAAGCGATCCTGATGATGTCTAGATATATTTCTACTAGCGAGCCACATTGAATAGATACTGTCGCATCAGCTGAGCAATCTTCATATTTTTCTTGTATCTACTTGGCCTGTAAAATTTATATTTTTTTAAATTGATCTAAATAAACAAGGTAACCAATCCTCTATATTACCGATACGAAATGTGTCCAAGCGACAGTTTATGTAATCGATTTTGAAGAACAAATAATTACTATAGTCGAACATTTAATCAAAACGAAATTAGAATCATTTGACACTTAAATCTCGAATTTTTCCACTTTTGTTTTCAAACTAGTTATTAATGACTATTTCTTCTGCAGATTTTAGTACATGACAAAACTTGATAAATTATACTATAAAGAAATCACTAAATACAAAATATGTGCTGAATATTAAAATATTTTTTTTATTACGAGTAACATAGCTATAATTACTTAAAATATGAATTATTATCTTCGAAGATATTCAATTAATTTCAGAAATACAAAAATAAATCTTGGTTTATTATTTCATGTAGAATTTCAAAACATTTTATATGATAAAACAGAAAAATAAAATTTATATTTCTTTAAAAATCTGTATTTAAATATTAAAAATAATCATTGTTTTTCACTAAAACACGAAGTTAACAATTCAATTAATTTTCCAAGAACTAATCTTTCTGAATCGGTTAATGATGACGATGAATTTACTTGAAATTCGAATCTTAATGTAATTAAATGGTAAATAATACTTGACTTCAATCGTGTAATAATGTGCGTAAATAAAATTGGTCCATTAAGTTCTATACGATTTACTAATGCCTAGAAATGTAGAATAAAGATTATACTGAGCTATGTGAAAATTGTTTTTAACTTGCATAATCAATTTTGAATGTTTGTATTACTCTGTGAAGACTACGTTTCGGTCCACGCATACTAAGATCGGTAAAAGAACTTTCATCATTTGTTGGTCTTATACTCAAGTTCTCAGTTGAATACGCATCTTGTTGTTGTTGCTGCAGTGAAAGTAAGTGCGTATATGTTTGAGATACATTATAATACTCATCTAACGTTTTAATGCCAAGATCTACACGAATCTTGTCAAGATTTCCATTCAGCATTTCAAATGTATTATATGTAGATTGTAAATCTATGAATTATCAAATAGAAAAAAAAATAAACATCGATAAAGAAAACTATGGATAAAATCAAATCGTTACAAACTTTTTTGTTCATTATCAAGTAGACCATGTGGATAGCGAAAAAGTGGCGATCTGTAGAAACATAGAATAGAATGTTTTATTACGCTCGTATTGAACTTCAGAAGGCAATTCGAGAATAAACATCAGAATGGAAGAGAAAGGACTGTGATTTTAAGAGTCTGAAGAAGAAGTCTGGATATTCCTTGTTTACATAAAATTAGATTTCGCCTGTGAATATTCAACGTCTTTGGATACGTTTGTGTCGTCGAATTGAATGATTTCATTTTTTTTCCATTATTTATCATGATAATAGAAAAATGATTAGGAAACTTTTTCTTAGTCTATATGAAAAACTTTTCGGCAGTCAAAAACTAATATTTATGCACTGCCTCATAATAATTTTATTTTACTAGTCTCGAGTCAACTGGTTTACTTTAAAATTGAAAAGGCAATGGGTTCTTTGTTTGCTGACCATCGCAACTGAAATTTAACTCGTTGACCTGACTATTAGCGAGTACGCTAGCTCCATCTTAGATGACTTTTCCATTGGCAATTTAGCTGGGTACCTTTTTAGAAGCAATTGAATCTTAAAATCGATTTCGACGTACGTATATTTATTTGAAAAATAATAGAATTTATTAGCTTACTTTCGATCAAGAAGTCGTTCAATTTCGTGATGATTGTCCTTCTCGTGGCCTACAATGAGGAATCCGAGAAAAAAAAAGAATTAGATAACACGTTGAAACATGTTAAGTGTTTTTGGATACTGTCAAAGCAAATAAAGATGCTAAAACTGATAAGAACTTCTACCAAAGTATTGCGCATGTCTCCGTTGTCATTTCTATCATACGACGTTTCGAATAAAACATGAGTTTACTTAATTCTTTTATTGACTCTATTGCTTGCGTTGGCTTTAGTGCTGAACGTGGCCTTAAACTTGATCCAGAATCTAAAGAAGATGGATCACCTTTTACATCCTCTTTACAACCATCTTTATTGGCCATTGTTACAGCTTGTAGTGCCATGTACCCTCAATCACGTGGTAATGAATTTATCGATCCATCTTATCCACCTGTAGGTCTTACAAATTCATCTCGAACATCATCTTTTGGTTCAGATCGTTCGGTACCTGTATCTTCGTTAGCTCTTATTGCAAGAACTCCAAAGCAACATATTCCAGCTGCGTACAATAATATACCACTTTTCTGTTTTCCCGATGGTGCTCGAGCAACATATGAACGAGAAAATGAACGAATTCATCATATTGTATTTACACAAGAAGAAGGCAAACGAATTTATGCACTAGCACTTACATTTCAACAATCGTTTAATCTTAAAACAAATAAACCTGATGATGATGGTACATATCAAATTGAGGATGCTAATTTAGCAACATTAACTTCACGACGTCCAAGCGAATCGAGAATTCCCATAGCTATTGAAAGGCAAAAATCACTAACATCCTTATCAATGTCAACAACATCAACACCAACACCATCGACGCCGACAGTTAAAGCACGTTCAAGTAGAGTACCCGTATCATTTCGTTATAGTGATGCGAGTACGATGAGTCAATCGCAATCATCGAATAGTTCTACTGATGCGAATAAAAAACATCTTCCTCATTATCAAACACACACCATTGTTAGCTATATGAAAGAGTCTGTTATTGAAGGTCTTTTTTTCTTTCATAGTTTATATAATTTTCACTCTGCTATAGTTTATCATCTACAGCACAGCCTCCACAAAGTCGTATGGTACGAACGAACAGTCAAAGCAATCTAACAACCTTGAACGATACAGCAAGTATTTCGACTGGAGCACGGAAACGTTCCAGTTCAATTACATCTCGAAATTCATCAATGAAGACAATACCGACAGCAGCAACAACAACAACAACATTAACTTCAACGCCAATTGAGATAGCAAAACCATTCTATTTACCACATTGTATTGTACTTGTTTCAACTCAACCCTATTGGACTGCAATGCAAGAAACAATATCAATGATTTACGACGAAATAAATCGATTAAGAATCGCACCAAATTCAAATCTCTATAAACAATTAATACAAAAATATGCTTTTCGTGCTTGTAATACACCAATACCACCGATACCATGGGAACGTTTTTCACTAGCATTTAATTTAACAAATGATCAATCCGTATTAACATTTGATCCACCCATCGATACAAATCATACAGTACTCGATTTAGATCTATCAATATTTCCTTTAACACTTAATATTGGCAAATTACTTGATATATTAGCAGCTATATTTACACAACAGCCAATTATCTTTTTTAGTTCAAACTATTCAAAATTAGTTACAACACTCGAATGTCTTCTCTATTTAATTTATCCATTGAAATGGGCTCATGTTTATGTACCATTTGTACCTGATGGTTTACGTGATTATTATCTTGAAGGTCCACCAGGTTCATATATTATGGGTGCACATTCACGGCATCAGTCTATCGTTGAAGATCTTAATATGAGTTTTACATGTAATTTAGATAACAATAAAAATATTCATGTACCAAAAGGCATGGAATTTCATCATTTACCACCAAGTAAAATTCAACGTTTTGTTAGTCGAATAACTGAATTTCTTGAAGATATTAAAGTTTCTCGTTCATTACAAAATGTTCATACTCCCGTACGTTTACGTATTGATCAACAACGTGAATTTGAACATCAACAACGTATTGAAACAAATCATAGAATCATACAAATATTTCTTGATTTAATGGTTGACTTATGTGGTGATGCATTAAAACCAATTTATTGGAAAATAAATCATCCACAATTAAGTCCAACGAATACATTAACAAGAACATCAAGTAATGATACAAAAAGTTCGAATCATAATCAAGCAAAAGTAACATTCAGCAAAGAAAAATATTTACTGTCAAAAACAGAAGGTATTGAATTAGAATTCTATCGAATGTTCGTGGAAACTACAGCATTTCAATTACTTATGGAAGAAGAAATAAGATCGACCTCGCCCACTGTATTTAGACACATTTGTCAATTACATTCATCATCAAATGAATATCAATTTTGTCATTTTAACCATTTATCATCAGAAGAAAATAATGATGATGAAAATGAAGATGAAGTAAAATCGATTTTAATTCAATCAAACATTTTTTGTTTCTCTTTTCTTCTACTTAGCAAGAAGCAACTACATTATACGATTCGATGTCTTCTCAAATGCTACTACCATTACCAGATTGGCCTACAAGTACATCAACACATTATTTAGATGATTGTATTGAATTATTTACTAGTGAATTAAAAAATGCACAACAAGAACATTCACCATCGGTCATAGCAGTTTATGCTTATCTACGTGGTTGTGCACTATTAGCACGTGGCCAGTTTCTTGATGGTCTTCGTGATCTCTATTTAATTGAAAATCCAAATCTTTTCCCACGTGAATATATTGAAACAGTTGTTTTATCTCGTCTTGCTGATGAATGTCTACTTGATTTATTTCTTAATGAATCATATTATACTAAAGCTCCTGAATGGAAAAAAGTTCGTACACGTGCAACATCACAGCGAATGTCAATAATTGATCTCGAAAGAAGCGGCGGCTTTCTAGATGATGAAAATCCTGTTGAACCAGGAATTGAGGGTGCTCTAGACAATGAATGGAATATAGTAGAAAAGAATCTAACATACGAACAATTTAGTGAACATGTACACCATTCAAGAATTGTACTCGATAATGAAACAACACAAAAACTATTCAATGCTTTAATGCATTGGACCGATAGTACAATCACAAGAACATTGAAAAAAGATAAAACATTAACTGCAAATAAATCTAGTGAAACAGCGAAGTCAACACCTAGACGCTTGTCAATGACAGGAACTCCATTAATAGATACATTAACTATGTTGAATGGTGTTGGACGTGGAAATCAAAATGCAACACTTTCATCTAAATCATTGATTCCATCTAATTCAACATTACCTATAGTATTGTTCGAATCATTTCTTGATAATTGGCAACGAACCAATGCTGAAAAAGTTCGCATGAATCGTTGTTTGCCCGAGGATCGACAGAAAAAAGAATCGATCTTAAAAGTAAATCTTTTGAAATATTTAAATAGCTACTACATAGACAGAAAGAAAATAAGAATTAAAAATTCATTTTTAGATATCATCATCAGGTATTGTCTCAAAAGCAGATGGCCCTGGAAAATTAATTTTAACACAAAAACGACTATATTTCTTGCCTGAGACACGTTCATTTGCACGTGTTCTCACTGAACTTGTGAATATTACATCCGTAGAAAAATACCAACATCAAACAGCTTTTTCATCATCAAAACCAGGTATTAAAGTTTATGCAGCAGCATCAACAAATACATCATCACTACCACGCGATAATACGGTAACATTAAAGTCAAAACTATCATTATCATCATCATCATCATCATCAGTTGATAAAGACTCGAAATCATCGATTAGATTAATTTTTAAGAATTGTCAAGAACAAGAATTATGGTACATTATTATTATTGAACTATGGTCAGGTGTAACAATTTCAAATGAACAATGTGATACATCTGTACTTAATAAAGCATCCAGACATATCGCACTTATGGATACATTAGCTAATATCAATTACGACGATGAAGCAACAGCAGTTGATAATAAACAAGGGCCGAACTATCGTGAAAAGCCAAAACAACGTCATAATGAAGTAATTAAGTTGTTTGCTATATTTGCTTTTATTTAAAAATAATGCAAATTCATCATACAACTTATAGTCGTAATTAGCGATAGAGTTGTGACGATGCACAATATCGCCATTGCATTTGTCTTATGTATAAAATAATGCATAAGAAAATTAGGGTACTCTTGAAAGTCCAGATCGAAAAATCAGATAGTAAGATCTTTAATGATCGTATATCTGATCTTGTACGATGTTCAAGGTCTTATGTCTGATTTTTCAAGCTTGAAAAAGTTGAAAAAATGTGCTTGGGTTCGATTTTCTTGTTTGAAAAATAAAAAATTTAGTTGCCATAGATAAAATTCTGCTATTTTCTTGAAATATGCTCTATGCCTCAACAGAGTCCAAATAAAGCTCAGATCATCCTCTAACTTTATCATGCCTTTACCAAGCTAATCGTTATTCTATTCATAAATACGTCTCTTAATCAATAGAAAAGTTAACTTATTAAATTCATTCTGTTGTGTTTTATTTTGTCTAGGCAAGTCTTGATATGGCTTTAAACGATTTATCAATATGTACACAAATGCGTAAAGAAGGTGCATTGAAGCCATTATCTGTCGAAACACGTAATGTTCTTACTCGTCGTCTATCACCATCCATAAATGAAACTGACTCTCATGCTGTACGCTGTCTTGTCTGTACTGAACATCCTGAAAATGGACGTTCATCGCTTTGGTGCGCATATGGCTCTAAACTTAAAGTATACAATTCAATAACATGGGTATGTGATCCAACGGATATATTATTTCCATCATTGATAACATGTATGTGTGTTGATTCACGAAATAAAATGTGGGTTGGTTGTATTGATGGTCAATTATTTGTTGTCGATACCGTAACACATGTTTGTGGTGCACAATTAGCATCGATTCGTTGTGAAGGTGGCTGTCAAACAATGGCATTCGATTTCCAAACTAATCATATATTAACTGCTAGTCAATCTGGTTCAGTTACTATATGGAATGCAACAAATTGGGAACGTTTAAACGAAATTAATTTATGCGAAATATATCGAACAACTCAAAGTAATCAAGAAAGAACATTTCAAAGTAAGATAGAAGTTACACTTCGTGCTCCGATACAATCATTAAAATCAGGAAAAAAACAAAATCGAAAAGAAAAAGTCTATCCTGACTCAAAGTCATCTACGAATCAAATGTATATACCAAGTAAGAATAAAATAATTAGTTATTTTCATTCTTTGGTAATGCAAATTTGTAGAAGCGTACTTTAAAAACAAGCACCGTTAGCGATGATATCATTAAACGAACTAATATTTTCCAACTTAGTATCTTTTTGGAGGAGGCCACCACTGCAGACATCACAAAATTTTCTCGGACAGTGATTTTAATGAGTGAAATGATAGCAACAAAAATCATTTTGTAACAAAATTGAGATGACAGAAAGAAAATCTGATTCGAAATAACAGTCTTTTGCAGAATTAATATCAAAACAAAAATATTCATTCTATCACAATGTTAGACTTCTGGAAAATCTTTGTTGATTTACATATTAGAAAACAACTATTCTATATTTTAGATATACCCTTAGCGAATGGACCAGCTCCAATAATTCCATCGCCAACAGATAAACTTGAACGTATACAAGTATATGATAATCTTCTATTTGCTTGTTATCGCGATGATTATCTACTTAGTTTCCGTGTATCTGATTCGAACACGTACACATATGAGAGTTTAATATCAGTTAAATACAAAAAAGATGATTCAACACCTATTGATGCATTTATTGCTTATAACGAACAATTGTGGGTATCCACTGGTTGTATTATTTATATATTTAGTATTAACGATGTCAATGATGAAAATTCTGATAATTTATTGATGAAAAAACCAGTTGATGATGATCGTCTTGTAACATTGTTAGGTTTTTCAGGTTATATATGGGCTGGATCATTACGTGGAAATGTATACGTATTTCGTATGGATAATTATGAAAGATTTAAAACATTTGCTGGCCATCATGATAGCGTTTGTTGTTTATGTTCAATGCTCAATATGTATGTTATAAGTGGTTCAGCACAAAATGATGCATCAATTGCTATTTGGGACAATGTACAAATATCAACAAATACAACAAACTCATTAGCATTATCATCATCAACAACCACCTCGACTGGAGAAAAATCAAAGGCTAATGCACCGGGAACTTCAACAAGCACATCAAGAATTCCGAGGAAAGCCGACGCAACAGGAGAAAATATCAAATCTATTAATATGTTATAAAAATTTTTATTTACTTGTTAAGAATGAATAATAAACATTGGCACGATTTATTGTATGATCGATCATATAATTGTAAAGTAAACGAACAAAAATCTAAAATGATTAAGAATCGATTCAAGTGTGATTGTTTTATTTTATTGAATTTTCTGTGTAATAAAGATACAAAAACTAACTAGTCGTTTGTTCAACTGTGGTTGATATTGTATTATTGCACAAAGTAAATGGTAAAGATAGAAGGGAATATTTGTAATATAATGTTGAAGTGATTTTAAATAATTTAATTTTTCATCATATCGTTCTTAAAGAAAAAAGAATCAAAAATTAATAAGAAATATATACTGTATAGGATTTTTTACGTTCAGAGCCAATTTTTTGTTGAATTTTCAAACGCCATTCAATTTCTTTTTCGCTTGCACATATAGAACAACATCTATGGAAAAGGCAAACATTTAATTATCTACAATTTAGAAATAAATCATTTCATATACTTAGTAAAATATTCTTCGGAATATTCCATGAATGTAGATAACCATCGGGGTAACTAAAAAAAATCCAAACTCAAATAAATGTCCTTCAAGAAAACGTAGACTTCTTTACTTTGCCTGATTGATTATTGAAAAACGACCAATCATGTTCATATTTAGCAAATAGATGAATTAAATCCCATCGTTCATTTTCCATAATCAAATGAGCCATACCCGATCCATAGGTATCTAATTCGAAATTTTCAATAACGAATGTTACTAGTTTATCAATAGGAAAACTATTTTGTTGCGTTGAAACAATATTTGCTAGAGTTAGAAATGTTTGCACTTGCGATCGCATTTGATAATCAACATCAAACCAATCAGGTCGAATAATGGCTAGCCAATTTAATTTCGGTAATAATTTTGCTGATCGATGAACAATATTTTGTAGTTGTTCATACAGAATATCACATGGACAAGTAACAAGTACAATAGCTGCTAAAATTTTATTACCATGTTCGATAAACTTTGATCTATTTAAAAAAATATATTTGATAAAAATTAATCTATTAAGAATATTTCAACAAATATATACTCAGCATTATCAAAATTAAATAATAAACATTCTTGAATTGAACTTTTATTATTAATAAAGTAATGAGCATATTGACTTGAATGTACAAGAAAAGCAAGAAGATCATTTTTATATTGACTTTGTCTTGCGTAAGATATTTTAATTGATGCATAACGCTGATAGATAAAATTCATTAATTCCAATAGTAGATATGGAATTATGATTGAAAGTAAATTTGGACAATATCGTTTTAAATATAAATGCAAACGATTAAAATGATGAAATAATGTATCGATATAGACTGAATAACGTTTATTTTCTAAATAGGCTTTTGTATTTAGCCAATTATTAGCATCACAGTCATGTAATAGATTGATTTGCCAATAGGATAACATAAATTGACAAAAATTATATAAAAAATAGTGAAATTGATCATAACGAAATAATATTTCAATGCTTGACAAAGATGATATAATACAAATACAATGTTCAAGAGATATGGACGAAGGATAACAATGAAAGATCTGAATAAGATACATTAGAAAGAATAAAAAAAGAGAAATTAATGAAAGAATAGAAACTTGTTGTACCTGAGAAGCTTTGTCAAGTAGTTGTTCAAATGTTTTATTACATTTCTTTATTAGATTAGATGAATTTTTGGATATTTTTGCATCGTCCAAAAATATAATTAATTTTTTTATATCCTAAGTGAAACAATATACGTATACTCTGTTATTAAATATTTAAAATACACTTACAGGATGAACAAAAAATATTGAATTTCTTATAGGACATTTATATTGTTCTAATTTATCAAATGAATCAAAATGATCAAACATTTTTTTACTTAATATCAAATCTAGAAATGAAACAATTCATTCGTTTTAAATAAACTACTCAATAAATTTTACCTATCCGTTGATGAAGACCAGCAAGAATGATATCCGAAAAATATTCAGTAATTATCATACAATTCTAATGAATAATTAGAAAAATAGCTTTTATTTCTTATCTAAAATAGTTTTCTTACTTTTTTTTCATCAATTTTACTTAATTGTTCACAAAGTCTCGCCAAGGATTTAACAAGATGACTTAAGGATAAATATTGTTGTCGTTGTTTATCGAGTTTACTTTTTAGGTATTCATTTAATTCATCGATTAATGGTTCGAATAGATTTAGAACTATGGCATACCATATATGATTTGAATTTTTTATTAATGGTTCATTACTAGCATAAAGTTTTAATGATTGTTCTAATAAACATCCTAGTGATTGAATTTTATCTCCATTGCCACCCCATTTTTGTTTTTGAGTGTCTTTACGAAATTGATTAATAAATGATTCCACAATAGATTGTCGAATTGTACAGAATGACAAAATTAATTCGGATGTTGGTATAAATTGTTGAAGAAGGTCAAAAAGAGATGGAATATATGAAACTGATGATGATAAAGAAAGACGTTTAAGAAGATTTAGTTCATATAGAATAAAATCATTAGAATATTCTTGTTTATTGATTAGATGAAGAAATGCTTGTAGAATAATTAAACTTTCTGATGGATTACATTCTTGAAGTGTACACTTAAAAATAATAATTCGTTTAAATAGAAAATCAATTGAAATAGATCCTACTATAATGTCTAATATATTATTATTAAGTTTTGATTCAGTCTGGTGTTGATTTTCAATCATGTCGTCATTCATTGTCATCTGATTATTAATTCGTTATAGTTTTAGAGATTATTTGATTTGATGTAATCAGCCATCGGTGTACATGTTGATAAGCAAAATATGATAGCAACATTGATATTCTTCATGATTAACTATAGATGTCGTTGATTAATGACATCAACTTTCTCAGCTCTGTATCGTCTTATGTTAGTAATTTTCTATGCTTAAACATCTATTTCCTCAACAAAGTCAACAATGCGATGACGCAGATCAATAGATAGGTAGATATACGTGGACAAATAAATAGATAAAAAATAATTTGATTATTTTCAATCAAATTAAAAATGAAGTTCTTTTAGCCATATGATATTTGATTATAGATTTTTCTCTTTCAGTATCACTCACCAATAAATCAAACATTTCATAGAATAGTAAAATCTTGCTTCAATTTGTATGATGTTTAAATGATTTTCAGAGAAGTTCATCAATATTTATCGAAGTCTCTCATTGCTCTAGTGTTTATTTTGAAGCGTTATAGCTTTCTCATTCATCAGTTTTTCTTCATGATTGTTCGATACCGGAAAAAAGCTTAGACGTAATAAATCAGCTTATGACACATTAATTTTTATGCATGAATCACCTGTTGATTTCTCACTATATATATATATCGATCATCGTGAATATATTATATTTATTTTATTTACGTAAATACAAGCAATATCATGTTCTCCCTAGCTTGGATGGCCAATCAACAAACGTCATTTCCTGAACTAGTTGGACGAAATACTCAAGAAGCAGCCTTGTATATTACGGCTCAAGGTATATTTTTTATACTAATTTATTGCTAATTATAGATAGATGTATTGATATTTTGTATTCAAGGCTTGACACCAGTTTTTGTCAGACCAGATCAACCCGTGACACTTGATTATCGCACAGATCGTGTTCGTATTGTGACAGATCCATCAGGAAATCATGTTATTCAAGCACCCACCGTTGGTTAACACAGAAAATTATATTGTTTTAATAAACTAGAATCTTTTGTTTTCTATTAAATAAAAATGAACCGCAATCACACTAAGTTTCTTATGTTGATTATTGTCTAATGGATATTTTCTGATTCACACTAACATAAACATATGATCTGATAAATTATAAAAATTATTTTTCTATTATCAGTTAAACAATAGATGATTGAAATATTGTATTTTTATCGTGTTATAATCAAGAATTCAAGAATTTTCTTACAGGAATAGTTGAACTATAGAACTAGTACTATTTCAAAATTTTTGTTTTTCACACAGTTGAAAAAGAAAAGTTAGTGAAAGATTTACAATCAAGTTTCGTGGATGAAGTCATATTTGTGTTTGCTATTGGTCTATTTCAAGACACCGATTTCTTATCGAGCAAACAACCAGTAACTGTGCTTTATCGTTTGTTTTACTCATTTTTTATTTCAACGTAAATATCGACAAATGAATCACATGTGACATTTTTATATTTGTTTATTCGATTGTCCTTGTATTTACACTCGACGAACGGTATTGAGTAAAGAAATATCATAGTTTAGACTTGAAAATTTGAATATTAGAAGATTTTCGATGAATGCAATGAATAATTCTGTATTTTAGCATTGTTTGATAGATACTGTCATAATCATATTGTTTATGTTGTCTTTCTGTTATTCCAATAGTATCGCAATTGAAAGTTAAATTTAACTGTTGAGCTTCAACTCTCGTCGAGAAATTTACACGATAAAAATATATAGTATGACAATCTTGACGTAGCCTTTGCATCGGATGAGATATATGTAGGTGTCTTTGAGGTTGAAGAGATTCAATATTAGAACTCTAATTTTTCAAGTTTTATTTACTTATATGAATTAAAAGTGGCAGGGAGTTAATGAAACTCAAACAATTTATTCATGAGTGAATTCATTACTTTATGAATTACAATCGTCAGGATTTAAATAGTATACAGTTCAAAATCTAGTCGTAAATAACGTAGTGAAGATGCTCATTTTAAAACGATAAATAGATTAAAAACAATTGAATCATTATCGTTCTCTTCTACAAATACTACTGGAAAACTGAATGAAAACCTTCTGCATCTCATTGAATTGTGCCTCGTACTGATGACTTAGTCAGGTGGACTATTTCTCACGATAATTTTGGGTGATATCCAATTTGTTTGCCTATCACAATAACAAAAACACGCTATCGGTATAAAGATGTAGAAAAACAGTCATTTGAAATAGTATCTGAAAATATTCGAATATGTTCGCATATACTTTTATTGTCAGCACAGTTTTTATTGGATCTATATTCAGTAATCCTATTGTTAGTCCTGGTGGCGATGGTATTAACTACGAGTTACTTGGTAAGTATTAATCATAATCATTATGTTTCTTGTATATGTGAGATTTGATTTTAGGTGGCGGAATTGAAGGTGATATGATTTTACCCGACGGATTTGATCCGAAAGGGGAATTCAATGGAAAAGGTGTAGCCATTTATGGACCACGTCGTTGGCCGAATAATATCATTCCGTATGATATATCAGCAATTACAAGTAACATCAACGATAAAAATTTCTATAAACATAAATCGATCCCTGATTTATTGTATTAATTAGATGCCGGACATCGAACGATGATCGAAAGTGCAATGGCAATACTTGCAAATGATGTAAGCACACCTATTGCAGGATCAACGTCACGAAAACCATGTGTTACTTTTCGACCGAAAATATCAACTGATCAAGTTTTCGTTAGAATTCAATATGGAACTGGTTGCAGTGCAAGCGTAAAATGGCATTTAAATCAACTTTTCAATTGACATAGCTTGTCTTTTTGCATTTCTTTTTAAGGTAGGATATTCTTCGGGCGCGAAAACATTGACATTACAAAATTCCGGTTGTTTTCGATCTGGTATTATTCAACATGAACTCATACATGTTCTTGGTTAGTAGAGTATCATTTGTAACGACAAAAAAAAAGACGAACCATTTGATTCGAAATGATATCAACTTAATTAGTATTAATAATTTTAGGTATCCCCCGCATTCGTTTCATAATTCGTCCCACGAAATTAGTCCCATCTTTTCTTACCCTAATTCGTCCCAGTTAAAAATTATTTGATTCTTAACTCGTCCCATTCTATATGAGAATATCAATTAATATGAGAGAAAGTCTGGTTATATTTTATTAATTATTATCCAATAAGAAAATAGAGAAGAGATAAACACACCCACACCCTTCACAGTATATTGAAAATCCGAATAATTTAGTACTTGCTGATTTCGTTCGCTAGTTGTAAATCGAAACATACCACAAAAATGAGATCAAGTTATGTATAAAAATTATCATATCCTTTTGTCTTTGAATTTATGTATCGCGTAGCTTGATCCACCAATTTATCAAAAATAATAGTGAGATGTCACCATTAAGAGTGTTCTAGTAGTACATACTAGAATTTCCGATTGTTTCCAGGCCATTTTCTATTCTATTGCGTGATTATATTATACATAGATGAACCCTGTTACGATCTTCAATTTAGTTTTAATTGATAAGTAAAGCCTCTTGTAGAATGGAACAATTAGTATTAATGTTGTCACATGGGACGAGTTAAGAATCAAATAAGTTTTAACGGGGACGAACTAGGGTAAAAAATATGGGACTAATTTCATGCAACGAATGTGGGGTAAACCATAATTTTACTATAGATATTAAAAATATAGATTAATTAATTTTTCTTTGTAATTAAATAGGGTTTTATCATGAACAATCACGTCCTGATCGTGATCTATATATTACTGTTAACCACAATAATATTGAAATAGGCAAAGTTAGTGTTTCATACAAATAAACGCCAAAATAATTTCACTTTTGTATTTATAGGAACATAACTTCAATAAATACACATGGGGATCCACTGTTTTAGATCAAAAATCACCTTATGATTTCGGAAGTATAATGCACTATGGTCCTACTTCTTTTAGTGCCAACGGTTTACCAACTATTACACCAAAACAAGCAGGTGCAACCATTGGTCAACGAGATAAACTTAGTGCAACCGATATCAATGAAATTCGTCAATTTTATAGTTGCACAATTTAAAACAACGTTATTTGTAGAAAAAACATCTGGAAGATTTACTGTCAACCAATATTTTCTAATTCTATCAATAATATATAAAAGAAAATTTTCTTCATAATAAAATACGACTTTGCATTGATAATATTTGCTTTATCGTACGAAAATATATGTTAGCGTTCAAACTGAGATCACGTCCAATCTCAGATTGGGTTTACATGAATTTCGGGCCGGGCCTAAAGTCCGAAAGGAATTTCGGCTCACGCTTTATTTTAACTCATTAAATGTTGAAAAAAATTTAATTAATAAAAAAATTAACTTGGATTTTGTAGTGCCGAGCGAAGCAACGTAGTGTTGAGCAGGACGAAGTAGTGTGGCCTATCAGAATACCAATTGTTTCTCCGTAGTCATCAAGAACGCATCAAGAGTGTAGTCTCCATAAGGACTTACGAATGCTTGTGGTCTTGTAATAAATGACGAATTCATTAATAAAAAGATTAACTGAATAACAGATGTCCTTCGTTGTAGAATATAAAATCCGCAGTTCAAGTGCTATTTTTAGTCAACTGACACAGAAAACTAATCCCACGAATCTTTTTTGCTTAGCAGAAAAGTATAGCTGTAGTGCGATATGAGTCAATAAACTAAAGCACTGTTCCGGTCGGCACTATGTCGCTTCGCTCAGTACTACAAAATCTGAGTTAATTTTTATATTAATTAAATTTTTTTCAACATTTAATGAGTTAAAATAAAGCGTGGGCCGAAAGTCCGGGACGAAAATTCCTTGACTCGAAATTCCGGTCTCCCTCAGATTGGCCTAGGCGAATCTCGAATCCGAGATTGGACGCGTCCAATGTTGGATTGAGCGAAAATTTGACACTAAAACGTGAACTACTCTGTATATCTGTGTAGGATTCGATTTTCTACTTATGAACTTCGATGAAGTATCATCATATTAGGTAACGTAATCATCAATAAACGAATAAATTAACGGCTCGATGATTTATGGACAGTTTTCAATCTTGAGGGTGAGGGTGTCAGAGTACAGGTTACCCTGATCATAATTCATCAATAAGAATTTGAATCCTATACCGATATACAGAGTAATTCACATTTTAATGTTAAATTTCCGCTCAATCCAACATTGGATGCGTCCAATCTCGGATTCGAGATTCGCCTAGGCCAATCTGAGATTGGACGTGATCTCAATTTGGGCGCTAACATATATGTACATATCTGATTCACATATTTCATTGTGTTAAGTAATATGAAATAGAATTTTTTTTCATTTCGTTATTTGCTTGAGTTCATCTTATGTATTCGGAGCAAAATAAATAAAATTAGAATAGAAAATCAAAATCTATACAAGTGACATTCATTTTTTTTTATTAAATGAAGTCACACGTCCATGGAATCACCAACAAGAAAATTTTCAATAAACTGTTCTCATTCATTCAGTATATCGATTGCACCCTATAATCGATGAGAAGAAACATTTAATTATCTTTATTTAAAATTTTGACAATACTTAGTGTAATACAAGTAATGCTTCCAATTATTCGTTTGTTCAAATGTTAATATGAAAAAGAAACAGATATTATTTTTCAAGTTTCAAATTTATCAATCATACAGAACGTGAAATAAAAAGTAGTTTTCATCAAAACAATGATTCATGAATACATGCATACTCATTTTCGAAGTACTAATTAGTATTTTATACGAGATGACCCTTTAAATAAAAATCTGACAAGTTTCGACCTGAGAAATATTGTGTGCTGATGCTGATGGTGGCAATTTTTTCAGTGAAGTAAACGGACAAAAAAGAGACCATTAATTAATTCAAAGTTTGTCAAAATTCTCAACTATTATGACTGCTGAAGTCATTTTTAAAGAAAGCCTGAAGGGGTCAATAAATCTGAACGTATGATAAATGTGTTTGTATAAAATTGATTTCAAATGACAATACATGAACTAGCACGAATATATTCTAATCATTACCGATGTCAAAAATAAATATATCAAGAGAATGCACTGAAGTATATCAATAACGCTTGAATAGAAAAATTGCTACAGTATTAGTCTACGATGAAGAAAGTGAGACATTTTTGTCGAGACCAAACCGTTGGCTAGAAGAACAACCACAAACTCTTCTCGATGCTTTATTTATTCGACATAATATGGTAATAGCCGACGTGGGAGCTGGAACTGGATTTATGACATTGCAACTAGCTTGTCGTGTTGGTCGAAAATGAATTGTGTTTGCTTCTGAGTTACAACCTCGAATGTTGAACGCTTTACTCAATCGACCTGATCTGCCTTCTAACGTAGGCTCTGTACAATCTACACCACTTGATACAAATCTTCCTGCAAATCGACAAACAAACCTCTTATACCATTGGCAACAGACTGAATGACTTCAAAATTCGCCCACACACGTCACATCACACATATTTTGCATACGCATCATATTCTTGTTATCCTTCGTGTACGCCTCTCTACCAATCAGAAAAAAAGACAACATTGTCTTTATTCTATCGTTATTCTTTCATTTCAAAATAAAGAATATTCATATCGAAAGGTTAAGTTTTTATTTATTCTCTAACGTAAAGATAAAATCTTACAAAACCTCATTCTGACTTAGCAAAAAAACATCAACAGCGTAGTGTCAGTCAGAGAAAAACAAAGCATACATCAAGGGACCCTGTTTTGTTTTGTGTGAATATAGTCAGCTGTCTGTTAGTAATCGTATAAAAGAGATCTTCCTTGTTATTCATATTCTCAAACATGTATTCACTATTGACCAAATGTCATATGTTTGTCTTACTATTCTTATCAATCGTTAGTATTTCGGCTCATCAAATCGATCAATTTGTTTGTCCTGGAAGTGGCTCTAGTTATCTTCCAGTTACATTACCGGCAAGTTGGATAAATGGATCAGCAAATTGTTTGGATCAAGATGCTCAACGACCTGATTTAGATATTTTTCCTATGAATAATGATACTTATATTCTACGTGAAAATAAATGTATAAACTATGAAGCACCATTTATTTATTTACTTTTTGGTAATAATATCGCATTATTAATTGATAGTGGAGCGACAGTTTCACTTGTTTCCTTACCTATTCAACAACGTGTTGAAAAAATTATACTTAATTGGTGTATCATTAATAAAAAACAACGTCAAGATATTAAATTAGTCGTTGCACATACACATAATCATTTAGATCATGTAGCTGGTGATACACAATTTCAAAATAAGCCTTATACAACAGTTGTTGGTACCAGTGTTAATGAAGTTAGTCAATTTTTTCAATTAGACAATTGGCCAAATAATATTGGTACATATGCATTAGATGATCAGCGTCATCTAGCTATTATACCAATACCTGGCCATGAAAATTCTTCTATAGCGATTTATGATTGTGCAACGGGTATCTTGATAACAGGAGATACATTGTTGCCTGGCCGTTTATATATAAAGGATTTCTCTGATAATGTTGAATCAATATCACGTTTAGTTAATTTTATTGAATCAAATCGTCTCAACGTCACATCGATACTTGGTGCACATATTGAAATGACACAAGAAAATAAAGTTGATTATCCATTGGGTTCAACATATCAACCAAACGAACGTCAATTAAATATGTCATTAGAACAATTATATCAACTGAACAATGAATTACAGCAACAATGGAAAGATGGTTTCAATAAACGACATAAAGCTTATTATGATACATTTATTGTTGACCCAAATTCATCTCAATTGCCACCATTACCATTCGATGGGCGTATGTCAGTTCATGGTTTCGTATTACTACCATTAGATACACCGAATTCTGTATGGATATCACATAAACCAATGTTTACTACACCACATGATTTTCAACTTTCATTTCATGCAATCATTACAAATTCAACAGTCGATCCAGTACCATTACCAACAAATATCACTCGATTGAATAGTCAATGGACAATTCAACCTGACAAATGGTCATTAAACAATTTAATCAATGGTAATTTAACATCATTTCGAACTAAATTATATAAAGGAAATTTTGAACAAGGTGGAACATATTTATGTGATGTAACAATCAATATAATTCGACCACTACTAACTGTTGTTCAATTGAATGCATCAGAAATTCAACCCTATCAACCATTACGTTATTCCAGTTATTTTCTATCGAATCTAATTGTAGACAAACGAACACAAATTCACCTTTATCTACTTCATCAAATTCGTGTACAACCAGATTTCGATGCTATCGCTCATGTTATTATTGATCCAGCTAATTGTACAACTGATATTAGTTCAAGTCAATTAAATAATTTATTAGAACAAAATGGAAATCAATGGGCATTTCCTGGTATTGATAATGATATAGGTGATCGTCTAACACAAGCATCTGGATTAGTCAGTGCACAACTACTTGGTGATATTTATTCAACAATATGCCAAGTGAAAGTTGTTGAAGAAATTCAATGCACAATAGGACCTGATTTTTATGAAGATTGTAATGTTTAATAAAGAACTAATTATTTAGTGATTTCGTTTTTTTTCTAGGAAGATTTTCATTTCGTTTGATATAAACTATGATATACTTTAGACATGATCGATACCAACCTGATTATTGTTTTTCGATTTACAAGATAACAAATCAGACAAAACTGACATTTATTTTATCATTATTATAAGCGGAGAAAAAAAATAGGCAATTAAATCTCTATCATCAAGATTTCTTCTCATAGAATTCAATTGACATTTGAATTAAAATATTCTATCGATTCCTATTGTTCATGACACTAAATTGATATTTAACAAACAAATGTTTACCATTTGTTCTTACATGAAGGTGAAGCTCTAGAAAGTAAATACAGTAAAAATCCTATGGTCTGTTCAATAGGAATATAAATTCTACTAAGACTACCGTTAGAACATTACTTAGTAGCTACAGGTAAAAATCGATGAAATCGAAAAAAGAAATTTGAGTAGACACTGCCTTCCTCAGTCAAATACGATATCAAACTATGAGTCTCTTAATCGCTATTCAAATTTATCATTTATTTATCTTCAACGAAAGTTAAAAGAAAATATACATTTAAGGCATGTTATATAATACTAATTTTTATAAAATACATAACAAAAGTTACTTTTCGTCGTCTCTTGACTAGATAAATACAGAGTTGAATAAAAAAAAAGAAAAGAAAAGTTTCATCTGACAAAGTCAATTGTTGGAAGAATATTACTATATATGGAACGATTGCAAAGAAAATAAATCAATAATAAATTGACAAGAGAAAAATCTATTCTTTAAATCGTTTTCTTGATGATTTTTTGTTTTTGAACATGTAATCTTCGATATTGCCTTGAGGACGTTTTATAGATGTCTTTTTTGGTGTTGTATTTTCTTCTTTTTTTACTTTTAATTCTTCAAAATACTCTCTTGGTTCTCGTTTAACAACAAATGAATCGAGTGTATTTCGAATTGGAGCGCTGGCTTTACTAAAATAAATAAATATATCAATTCAACCATAATCTTGTTACATACGTAATTTGATCCTGAGTAAATGGTCGGATATTGTTCACGTCATTTGTTTTTGTTGATCCTATATTTGGCATTACACGATACATTTGAATATTGTTATGTGGTAAAAGTAATGGAAGAACCTATTTTTGAAATAAGCGATTATTTCTTAATCAAAAATTAGTCGAATACTTTTTCAGTATCATATCGACCAAAATCAAGCCATTGATCGATTTCTTGTTGCGTTGTTAAAATAGCCTAGTAATCAGCGATAATTTTTGTTTTTTTAAATAATAATCACAATAGCATTTGTTTTCTTTTTGCTTACTGGCATTCGGATATGTACATTTAACATTTTTTCACTAGCATCAACCGTACACACCGAACATGAATACAATGGATCACTCTATGCGAAAAATAACGCGCTAATATGTTTTTAATCAAGTATTTCTATTGAAACTATACCTCACAATATCGATTGACATCGAAAATGCCTGCCATGGCTAATAATGGCAATTTGCCTGGATTTTCTTTTTCGATTTTTTCAATAATTTGATCAGTATTTATATTCGGATACTGTTTTTCATGAATCAATGGTTCGCTGTCATATATGAAGTATGGCGTTTTCAGCACGTTTTTTTTCCATTCAAAAAAGCTAAATAAAGCAAAACAGAACGTATAGAATAATAGAACGAAGGCATATTCGTGTCTACCCTTCAGCAAGTATGAGGCATCGTTTACCATTTCGTAATGGTACTTTAAATGTTGGCTTTTCGTCAATAGTTTCCACGCGACAATTATTCAAAATAGGTTTATACTCATGCAAACTGCCTTTATGATAATTAGGAACCATTGACCAACGCATTGAACAAAGAACACGTGTCGCTGAATCTTCTGTTTCATCTAAATGTTTTGCTGAAATCAAGCATAAACTAGAATTGTGAAAGAAATTAAATTAGTCAAAGAAAATTAGTAATTTCTTGATCGCACCAAGTAGATGTTGGAGATATATTCCAACTAGATTGAAAAGGTTTCACTGACGACATTAAATCAATAAACGGCGGTAAAGTTAATTCTTTTGTTTGCGAGTTCATATAAGTCGATAGACGACGTACAACATCAGGAGCTAAACCACAAGCAAAACGTCCACACATATTTCTTAATGTTCTAAAATTTTTCTCGAACAATTAAATTCTCATTATTTATTTATTCAAATGCAGCCAGAACAGAAAAACGAAAAAAAAGATGTTCAAATATATTTGCAATATTAGATAAAAAAAAAAGCGCACATTGTTGTCACGACTGATATATATATATATATACTTTATTTATTCTTAACGCATAGACGTACAAAAAAAAAGCAAAGCTGTTATTTCTTTTTTTTTATTATAAATACACAGAATAGACAGACATCATGAACAGAGAGAATAAATTGATAAATAAAAAGCATGATCATTTATATTAAATAGATAAGCCAAAGACTGAAACGATTGCATAAAGATGCTTATTTTCCCAACTAAAAATAAGAATCCAACAATAAATTAAATTAATAGATCAATAATAATAATTACCGAACTGTACAACTACCATCCGTTGTATTATCCCAATAACATGAACTAGCTGTATGTAGACCAGCTCCATTCTTTTGCATGATTACCTATGAACATAGAGAGACAGAGAAAGAGATTTTCTAAACAAAACAAAGAATAATAATATTAATAACTTACTGCTTGCACAATATATTTAAATGGTTTACCCAATTTTGTAAGTTCGGTTAATACATGATCAACAATATCAGCTGTCCATCGATTAACTTTATTATGTTGATAGGAATTTCCACCGATAATTCTTTCAATAGTATCTTTAATTATATTTGATACCTCATCAATAACAAATGATGAATCTTCTCCACTTATCACTTCCATCGATCTGAAACAAAGATAAAACTATATCTGAAAGAAAGAAAGAAGGAAGGAAGGAAAAAAACTTAAAATAGCAACCACAAAGGTTCTTTATCTCGTTTATAGGAATCTTTTGAGGCGAACAGAAAGAAAAGGAAAATGATTCAAACAAGAAAGACACTTATCCTTTTACTCGTGTGTTTTCTCCTTCTCCTACACCTACTTCTTCATTACTGTCATATTGGTATAGAAAAATAAAAAGACAGGAATCATAAAAAAAACCGAGAAATGTCTACGATAATTTACCTTGAAGAAGGCATAGCATCATATACAGAAAAAAAAATGAAGTGCGACATAACTCACAATATGATACACCCATAAAAAGCATGAAGGAAAGAAAAATAGAACTCATCATCGATATGATTTTTGATACAAAGGAAGCCATCGAGGACTAAGTTTTAAAAAAAAGAAGAGAAAAACCTAATATTTAATTTTGTCGACAATAAAAAAGAAGAAGAAAATTCATCTATTTGGTCGAGAATCGAATACCTCTGTACATAGACTTAAACATATAATTGAAAAGTATCAATATTTCTTTTACTTCTTGTTGCAACGATTCTAATCCTTTTGCCCTTTTTTTTCGATATAAAAATTCCAACGAGCACTTGTGATTAAACAACAAGAAAAATGTTGAAACATATATGTGACCGTTCGTCTCTTAACTCATTGTTCGTCTTTCTTTTCTTCTATTCTATCAATACTCCCTTCATTTGACCTCTTTGCTACCTCGTCGGTAAGATCGGATCACGAGGTAATAATGTACACTCGTCTGTTGATGTTGTCCAATTGATCATTGAGTTTTTTTTTCTTCTTGCTTTACTCTCTTTCTCTCTCTCTCTCTCTCTCTCTCTCTTCTCTCTCATTTGTCATTCAACATTTGAAGATCTACTTTTTTTTCTCACATTCACTATTAAGTGAACAATAAAATCTCCTACTTAACTTATTTGAAATTTTATTCCTAATTTTAATACATTTTTGTATTCAAAGTCAAGTGAAAAAAAACTGTTTTACTAATTTTCTATCTTTTTTTTCAATGGAAAAAATAGTAAAGATCATCTGTAAGCATCGAGAACGTAATACTTATTAATTGTATAATATGCTGTAATCGCTATAGACTCAAGTTTACATACAAAATAAATAATCTCGTCATTTATCTTTCAATAAAAACTAGAAAAAAAGGGGAAAAATACATTCTGTCAACATTTAAAAAATATATTTTATGTATTTACACGTCGTCTAACAAAGGACTATCAGATATTCAGTTCTTCTCGGTTTTATCTGATTGGTAAAAAGAAAATATCAACGCTACAATCAACGTTTCGGAGAAATATTTCGCGTAAAGGTTAAAAACAAGATAATCAATGGTCCAATCAAAATCAATGGCCGGCTACAATTGAAACTTTTTAACGTTGTCACTTAGTTTTTCTTTTAGAAAATCTTGTTTTGGAAAAAAGATGTCATCAACAGAAAAAAAATCACTTTTAGTATCGATTAATCCAGTTTTTGCTGATATCGATTTGATTAATCATTTTCGAGATGCTTATACAAATCGATTACCGATTGATGAAAAAGGTTTGTGTACATATACATAAACTTTTATATTTTTTTAAAAATTTTCTTCAAGTTATGACATTGGCACACGAACCATTCTCTCATTGTGTCATCGATGATTTCATTCTCGATAAAAATGTTGATCAATTCTGTAGTCAGCTAAGCAATGAACTCAGTAATATCAAAATGAATCAAAAAAATAATGATTTATATAAATTTCAACAGGTTAATAAACGCAAAAGAAGACCAGTAACATATTTTACGATAATTAAAAATAAATTGTCTATTTATGTAGTCGGATGATTTGGCTAATGTGACATTACCAGCAATTCAACAGATCAAGTGGGTTTATTCGATATGTCGAACGATGCTATATTTCTATTCGAATCCAGGCAATTTGTCTATGTAGATTTCAAGGATTGGCTTGCACAAGCAACTGATATTCGTTTAAGTGATAAAGTTGATATGACATGTTCGAAATATGGATACTCAGGTATTATTTGTAACTGTTTTTTTCCCTAGTATCATGATCAATGCCTCAGTTTGTTTTTCATTGTAGATTATCTTTTATGCCATGATGATGATATACACGGCACGATTGAAGGTCGTCGTATTGCTTTTATTTACTATCTTGTACCTGAAACTTGGAAGGTATCAGATGGTGGAGCATTAGATCTATTTGTTACCGATGGTTAATATAATTAGATTTTGGTTGAAAAGTATCTGTTTTCTTGTTTGCAATTATAGATGAAAATCAACCACATCAAATCGTGAAATCATTATTACCAAAGCGAAATCGTTTAGCTTTCTTTGAAGTTACTGATAAATCTTATCATCAGGTAATTGAAAATAAGAAAGAAAGACATAAAAATTTTTGAAGTCTAAAACGATATTAAAATAATAATGTCTTTTTTCTAAGATAAGCATAGAATTCAACAATTTATTAGAAATTTTTGTTTTCAAAACTACTCTTATGTCTTTTATTTGCATTAAAACAATTAAATTAGAGTCTCAACACAGCGATGAACTTTAGACTTTACTTATCATTTCTTCATCAATCCAATTAGGTAGCAGAAGTTTTGAATGACAAACAAGGTGCTCGTTTATCAATCAATGGTTGGCTTCATGGTCCGATTAATCCACGACCAGCACCCATTTTTGAATCATTACCTGCAACGAAACCAGCATCAAAATTTCAACAGAATGATGTAACATTTAATTTATTTGTTTTTCTTTGATGAGGAATAAATCTGAACTAAGTAATACATTTCAGTTAGAGCGTATTAATCAAACAATATCATCGATGTATCTCAAAGTTGAAACTCAATACGATGTTCAAATGGCCTTCCAAGAAAATTCCGAAACAAAACTATCAGAATTCTTTCGAGTAAATCAAAATAAGTCTTAAACATCGTTCGATTTTGATCTTTTTATAGAAAGATTATTTTCAAGCGATGATCAATGAATTAAAAGGTGATACCATCCAATGGATACGACGTGGTCCTTACAATAAACGGTACTAAACTAAATTTTAAATGGAACAAAAAAATAGTATTTTGAATTTATTATTATTTAAAAGAAACTATGATGTTGCTGATGTTACTTCTTTGCCATCGGCACTGAAAACACTCGTTGAGCTTTTTGGTTCTGAACCAATGTTCACTATTCTTGGATCACTTACTGGTTTAACATCAGAAAATGATGATGACGATGATGATGAGGAAGAAGAAAAAGTATATGAACCTTCACCTAAGAAAACTAAATCGAATACTACCGGTAGAATATTTCATTTTTAATATTTTTTCTTGAGTCAAAACTTTTCCTTATTAAGTTGATACGGCTGCTTCGTCAAAATCTTCTACATCTGTACCTCGATGGTATTTTGAATTACGAAGATGGAAACATACATATTATAGTTTATCGTATGACACAGATAATAATGAAGAAAATAATAATTTTAATGATGATGATGATGACGACGAAGAAGAAAAGGATGGAACACTTGATATTATGCTTTTCTTGAATTATCAATCAGGTACTTATTTTGAAAAGAAGTATTTTATTTGTATGTAATTGATTTGTTTAGATGACATTGATGAAACAGAAGGTGGCGGTGATATTGTCTACACAATTAAGAATGAAGATGAAACAGTAGGAAACGATTTTGTTTTTTTATTAGAAAATCTAAATTATAATGTTCTAGCTATTACGTGTGATTCCTGATAATAATAGTCTCAATTTGATCTACCGTGAAGATGATAATGTGCTAAAATTCAATAAATATATCAATCATCGACATGCAAATAACACCTTCTATGAATTTTGTGCATCTTATCTTGATTTAGATAAACTTAAAATCGATTGAATAAAAATAAAATAAAATAAAAATAAAACAAGAATGAAAAATAAACTACCTAAACATGCATTCTTGTAGATTGTTGTCATTGAATGGCTACTTGTGAAAATAGTTGTTCTACTGAAGATGAAAATGATCATCAAATATTATCATCAAAGAGAATTATAACAATTTTATCAGACGATGAAGATCTAGAGATAAATAAGAACAATAAACGTCAACGTTCACCATCGTTACCGAAACCTAAACCGCTACAATTAATGAATAAACAAACAATTAAATCTAATACGAGACAAACATCACTATCAATCATAAGAACTAACAGTGATAGTAATGGAAATGAAGAAAGAAAATGGAATTTGCAAACTATTTCTTCATCATCAAATGAAAACTCATCGAAACAAAAAAAGAAGAAAATAACACAAACGGTAAATAAGAGCAATGATCGAAAAGCGTAGTGTGTCTGATAGAAATTAATTTTCAGTTCCTTCTGTCAAGTTTCTACTTGAACATTTCGTTTGAATCATACTTGGACACCAGATTACTTTGAAACATTTGCCTAGATGTCAAATATATATATTCTAGATAACCTTTAACGTCCTATTATATCGTATCCCATTGCAAGAGTAACTTTTTATGAGTGAAAACGATGTAGCAAAAACATTCTTCACGTACATGTTACCTTCATGCAAAACGTAACTACAAAGTCCGAGACGAAGGTTTTATTGTTTGAGTAAGAGATAAAATAATAACGATTTTAAATAAAAGACAGCATGTGCTATCATGATATGATACACTTAAGTAAAATCTCTTCATGTGTGAGATCATACACATCGATATCTACCAAAACACAATCATTGATAGAAAAACCAAGTCATAGTCTAGTTTTATTCATCAACAAATCAATTTTGATGCATATTATTCTGTTTTAGAAATCTGTAACAGTAGCACAGTCAAGAACTTCAAGTACATTAATTCGAACAGTCTCTTCGCCATCTATTACAAAAAATGACATCAGCAATGATCCATCCCGAACAGTATCTTTTGATGGAGCTGTCATAAATGAAGAAGATGTTTTCTCTCAATGGAATGAGAAATCAAGCACTTCTTCGTCAACTAGTACGAACACAACCCAATCGTCGTCAATTACCGTCAATAGTAAATCAATATGGAAAGAAATTTTTAGTAAATCAACCAAATCAAAACCAGTTGATGATGAATTAAAACAAGAATGGTCTGCATTAGACAAAGATCAACCATCAAATCATTATCGATCTAATGCAGCACCAGTTGGTGTAAAAAGAGCATGTCCATTTTACAAAAAAATATCCGGTAAAATGCAACTTTTCTTCTACTACGAGCAGTAAACTACTGAGTAAATTCAATTCATTGTAATCATCTGTCCATTATTAATTAATATAAATAAAAATGATACACTAATTAGATACTACGGAAATAAATAATTAGCTAATGAAGTTTCATTAGATATGAGTAAAAATAAGTAGCTACTATTTTTATGTAAATCCATAAGAAAACACTTAACTTTATAGAATCAAATTCTATTCTCTATTAATGCATACGTAAAAAGAAGGATAAATGCAGCCATTATATAATTATACATATATTTAGGTACGGCATTTTGTATTGACGCATTTAATTTTGGTAACATCGATGGTATACAAGCATATTTCCTTTCACATTTTCATTCGGATCATTATGGTGGATTGAATAAAAAATTTTCCAATATGCTTTATTCCAATCAAGTCTGTAAATTTAATACTAACATCTTACCATCTAATTTCATTCATCGTTTATCAGATTACTTGTAACTTATGTAAAAGTGAATTAGGTATTCGCTCGGAAACTATGACCATTCTTCCTATGAATGAATTTATCAATGTTCATGGCATTGATGTAGCCCTTTTAGATGCAAATCAGTAAGAATATAATTAAGGTGAAAAATTCTAATAAGATTTCATTTTATTTTAGTTGTCCTGGTTCAAATATGTTTTTATTTCGATTTGCAAATGGTAGATTAATTTTACATACAGGAGACTTTCGAGCGGCACCAACTCTTTTTAAACATCCATTGATTCAACCTAAACAAATCGATACAGTTTATCTGGATACAACGTATGTGTTTGCTTTCAAATATTCGTATTCTCTATTTCAATGTAATTTAGTTATTGTGATACTCGTTATCGTTTTCCGTCACAAGATGAAGTTATAGAAAGTGCTGTTGGCTTAGTTTCAGATTCATTAAAAGAGAATGCCAGAACGTTAATCGCCATTGGAACATATCTTATTGGTAAAGAACGAATATTTCATGGTAAATCATTGGTATCTATTGATAAAGTGTATATAACTGTTTTTTTCTTCTTTTTATTTAGCTATTGCAAAAGCTCTTGATTGTAAAATATTTGTTGAAACAAGAAAATTTCGCATACTAAATCAATTAGAAAATGATGACCTATCGAAACGTTTAACAAAAAATCCACATGAAACGAATGTTCATGTTGTTGGTATGGGTTCTATTACTCAACCAGTAAGATTTGAATAAATACAAAACTAGTTCTATACTTTTGGCTTGTTATAATAAAAGATGTTACAAGCACACGTGGATAAATATGCATTACGATATAATAAAATCATTGGAATAAAACCAACAGGTTGGACGACTCCTCGATCGACAGGCGGATCAAAACATTATTCAATTGAATCGAAATCATCAAATATTACTGTCTATGGTTTGTTTGTTTGATCGATATTGCTGAATAATACATTGCTTTTATGATGAAAATATTTTAGGTTTTCCCTATAGTGAACATAGTTCTTTCGATGAATTAAAAGATTTTATTCAATATATTAAACCAAAAAGAATCATCCCAACGTATTTATAAAATAAAATTTCAGTTCTAATTCATCAATTTTTTTTTCCATTTCATAGAGTTAATGTTGGACGTGCCGATTTACGTGACAAAATGAATGGCTATTTTCAACAATGGCTATCAACTTAGGATTTATTTTTTTGTATTTTATCAGATAAATATTTTTATTGTACACTTAAAAACATATCAGACACAAATGATTGAATAAACAATATTCATTTTTCTCTATTTTTCTTCTTCTCAGATGACTATTATTATCATCGGAGGTGTTACAGCTGTTGGTAAAACAACGACAGCTAAGAAATTAAAAGATTTATATAATTGGGATTATGTAGAAGGAGATCAATATCATCCGAAGTCAAACATTGCTAAAATGCAAGCGGGTATACCATTAACAGATGAAGATCGTCTTCCTTGGCTAATACTTCTACATGAAACATTAACAAATTATTTAACCACCAATAAAAGTTGTATTATAACATGTTCAGCTTTAAAATCGCATTATCGACAAATATTATTAACTGGTTCATCAGATCCTAACGTTAAAGTAAAAATATCAACAGAAAATGTTTATATTATTATATTAACATTGTCAAAAGACACTCTACATGATCGCTTGCTTCAAAGACAGAAGTCACATTTTATGAATCCTTCATTGTTAGACTCACAACTTCAAACTCTTCAATTGCCTGCAACTCAGACAGATGAACCTTATACATATATTATTAACTGTGATAATCATTCACAAAATGAAATTATTAATGAAATTCAACAGATTATAAAGCAGTGAAGACTGTTTTTAAATGATTTTATTTTTCGACATGCATTCATCGTTCAGAAATAGGAAATTTTTTCGCAGAATGTTGTGAATTTCATCGCTTTGACTGTAGATCTAATTACAATGAATTTAGTTTTTAAAAAATGTTGATTATTTATTCGATGCTTTAATTGATTCCATTCCATTATTAGAAAATATCGAGAATATATTAAGTAAATTATTAAATTCAAAGAAAGAAAAGGTTATTTTATTAATCCTCTTCATCAAGAGCTCCTAGTCTAATATGTTGTGCTCGAATTTTTACTCGTTTGGGCGATCCTGGCGAATCATCGTATGAACTATGATGGCCAGGAGATGCGTTGATTTGTTTCGAACTAGGATATATTGGGGCAACATCCGATGTAATAGTAATAGAGCTATCACTTCGACTTGATAAACGAAATCCATCACTATCCAACGAATGCCGCATAAATGTTATTAATTTTTTCTTGAAACCAACGTATCCAATGAAACCAATGAAAAGAGAAAACATAACAGTAGCGGAAATCCATAACCATCTTCGAGATTTAGCTTCTGATGAATGAGATGCTTTTGAAATTGGCCATGGTAATGTTGATGTTGTCTTCGATGCTATAGATTTTGATGATAATGCTGTTGATGTTATCGTACTTTCTATTCGAGTAATAGGTTCTGCTATGACAAAATGACGATTCGGAGGTTTCAGGAAGCTGCGGTTACTACTGGCATGTGCACATTCATCGTCTTTGGAAAAAAGAACGAAATCATTTTTATAATCAAACATGAAAAATAAAAGCTATGAAAATGTTTATGATCACTGAAACGTAAGCTATGGATACACGAATTTCATATTTGGAATCTTTGGTACTATTTATTACAACATACCAGTGCCAATAACTTGGATTGAGAAACATTTAATTTCTGTTGATGGTAATTTACGACTGAATTCACCGACAAAGCATATTTGATATTTTTCACATAGATCTGGTGAACATTGAAATATAACTTCAATACCTCCATTAGCTGAAACGACAGGTTGATTATTTGTACATAATGTCGTCAATTCAGTTATTGTTTGATCTTGAGGTTCAATTAAAAGACAATTAGGATTAAGATTGACAGTGAGATTAACTGATTGTTTTATTTTAATCGTCGATATATTAGAATGATCTGCTTTATTTTCAACAACGATTTCTGGCTGCACATTACAAATAATATCTTTTAAAACATGTATTTGAATACTAATTAAAGAACGCGAAAGTATTTGATTGTTATTACGATCCATTAGCCAAAATTGACCGAATTGTTTACCGAGTCGATTCGTTTGATAAGTCAATTTACAATTGGCATCAGCATGAACCGTTAAAAATCCGCCTAGATCATCTTTAAATCGTTCACATACTATTTCATCATCTAATTTAGATGAAACAAGAATTATTGATTCAATAATAAAAAGGCAACGAGAATTATTTAACTATCAGCATCGAAGACATATATTTTTATGTCTCTTGGTTCATTGAAATCAACATAATAAGATGCTGGAATATGTGGATAAGGCGATGAATTTATTCGATTTAGTTTGGTTTCAATAGATAATTCAAGATGAAAATTTTTCACTGTCGAATTTGCCCAACAACAAGAAGACTAACAAAAAAAGATGTCATAAACAGCTATTTTAAAATTACTACGGTCTAAATTTGTTTTTCTATAAAAAATAACTAGTGGAAAAATGTTTTGTCCAAGTGCAGAGAATGAAATTGACTGCTGAGCATCTATAATTAAAACTGGAATAGTGTTATTTTTCTTAAATATGTCTTTCAATAAAAAAGGCATGTTGAATTATGAGTTTCGTAAGAAACGAAATGAACACTATGTAAATTTATGTACGTACATAACGAAGCTGAATTGGTTTATATTTTTCAAAAATTAATAAAAATTGACGTCGTAATATCGAATAACCATTATTTTGATTAGCACTTTCACAATAGGCCCAAGTTTTTTCTTGAAAATGTTTACACGCACGATTATGAGAATCACTCATACATTCAATATTGTAGAAATATTTATTTCGTTTGATTGACTCTGTTTCATACCATAGATATCGATGATTGATTTCATCGTAAGGAACTGATTCACCAATGAAATATACAATCATATGTTCATTAATTTGTTCTGGTGTGCAAATAAAATAATGGTCCGACATATGAAAACGTATTTCAACTACAATTGATTCATACGAGTTATGATTAATAGGTTGCTCAATATGTCGATAAGTAAATGAACCACCGAGAAAATGAGAAGCTCTTGTTAGTGAAAAAAGAAGAAAAACTACTATTAAAAAAAACTGAAAAATCATCTTGTTAAACAAATTAGAAAAAATGATCATTGATTTATAATTTCAAAGAGAACGCGCCTGTTATCACAATTATTTGAAATAGTATTTTGGTGACAAGAGATGATATGGCTGAATCTCTGGTCAGCAACATTGAAATAATCAATGAAAATGAAGGTAGCGAAAATAGTAGTACATACAACGAATATTGGATTTGGTTTAATGTTTGTTTTACCTAAAAGTTCATAGATATGAGAACTTGGTAATAAAATGATTATCATGGTCGCTCTTTTCGATAAATTATAATGGAAGTGATCATGCTATTATTCACCAGTCGTGAAGTAACACAAATGTTAATCTATTAATAATCATTGTTATGAGCGAGTGTATCGATGAAGATTCTGTGTTACAACAGTGCGTATGGATCGATACACCAGAAATGCATTATGCATAGTAACAATGACCTGATCCTGCTGCATCACAGTTATTGAGATCAAAGTTTTATTTGCATTATATACTGAAATATCTGCATGTACTGTCTATGTCGAGAAGATTACAAATTGCGAGTTTTTCTTTATATTAAGTTATCAAATAACAGTCGATCGGCATACTTTGTTTATTATACCACGATATCAACTCGGGCAGATGTGAAGAGGCAATGAATATCTCCTAGAGATAATTAGTTTAGATTATATTTCATTTTTGGGTGGATTAACGAAATAGTCTCTGGTTAGAATTATTTGGAAACAACTAAAAAAACGAAAACATAAATTCTTCTAAATCATAGTGCACACTTAAAGCAGTACAGTTTTTACAAACGCTAGTTTTGTTAACAACATTCATACGCTAGAAATAGCCACATAATGGGGATCGAATGTGCTCATTCAAGATTGAAATAGCTCATCTTGAAATTTTCAAGACGTAATCAGAATGTTTACATTGTATTTATGAAGAGAGATAAAACAAGTATTATTATTAAATAGTTACGAGAAATAGAGGGTTCGCTGAGAGTGTTTACTAGGGTCCTGTCGGAACCACTTTTTTGGACTCCCGTGGGAAACGGGACGGGAAATAATCGTTCCCGCAGGACCCTAGTGTTTACGCAAGGCTTCACTAAAGTATGAAAGTCGAAGAAGTTAGAGTTCTACATGTTTATGTATTTATATGTATTGCAAGATATTTCGAACTGGTTCTGGAATACATGGGATACTCTCTATTCGCCTTTAAATTCAATGTTCTGCAATGTGTTTCTCACACTTTGTAAGCGTAGTCGCGTATGCTTAATCTGAAATAATAACGATCCACAATTCTAGATATATAGTGCTGTAAGCGAAGGATGAAATATCTGAATTTTAAAAGGAATTAAAATTAAAATTTGATACAAGCGAATAATGAGATAATAAAAAAAAAGGATTTGATCTGAATAATCATCTCGTTATCTTGTTCGGTATGACTGGAAAAATGTATGTCAATAATATGATGACTGAGCGCATGAGCGTCAATCAAAAATTGATGATGATGATCATCCACATATAGATTGACCTCATCAGACGAAGAAAGCTGCAACAGTGTCAAAAATTAGCAGCACTATTTTCGAACTGTTCAAAAAACATCTTGAAGCAATCCATTCGAAATATTTCTTATTTAATAGTGTTGAATCAATTAAATTTGATACTTACTGGATTGTAAGTCTTTTATACGATTCGTCATTATTAACTTGGGTCTTGAATGAGATTTTTCTAACATTCATCTTTACAATTAAGGCTTAGCATATATTTATCACGTTTACTTAGTACAAGTTTCTCAACAATTCGAACTTAAGCTCTTGGACTAATCATATTTATGATACTTTTGATCGAGAGAAACAATCTATTACGTACGACATAGTATACAGTATCGGTAGTAGCATTATGTTGTTGCTCTCCAGTATTTTCTCAAAGGTGAACAAAAAAGAAGCGATTGGAAGCAGCAAGGGAATCGTAAAGGTTTTTCTCGATCTTGTCATTTTGTCGCTAAATCAAACACAAAAATTGTTAAGTGTTACCAGTCACTTTCATTCTGCTTCTTTTTTTTCCATCGCGATACTGTTGCTGTTGTTTATTATACTATTGATTTGTAGTCATCAACGAATCTTTAGATGGGGACTATTTGGAGTTTGGTGGGCACCGCAAAGTAACACTTTTTACCGGCCAAAACCAATAGCAAGCACAACTCTTAGCAATAATCAATCTGAGCTGCCTGGTGAAAGCAAAAATTTAGAAATATTTTCATTGATTTGGTGAGATGAGGATCAAGATGAATGATACGAAAATCGTCAAGCACAAGAGAAATTTCAGGATTTAATCAATTTTCACAAAACTTTTACCAGCATTGATGAATGTGAAAAATTCATACGCCAAGAAACGACGATGGTAGATAAAATCATTCTAATTTCATCGGGTGCATTCGGTCCAGTTCTACTTCCTCGAATTCACAATTTATTGCCTCAATGAGAAAAACCAGCAACAATGAATAGTTCCTTTTCCAAAGGTAGTATCATTCATAAATCGCAATCATTTGTGGTACTCATGAAGAATTGAGAATCGTCAGAAAGATGATGAATGTTGCTGTTGGAAAATTCAAAATAAATAACAATATATCTGATCTACTAGTCTGAAGATGAAAGAAAAATATAGGTTTCATTATGTACAAAAGCTTTGGTATTAGATTATTAAAGTTTTTAAAGTTTCCGTGATTCAAACAGTCCTTTTCCCATTTAGTCTTACTAGCGATAGGCTATAAAAATAAATTGACTATGAAGAAGCAGTATTGATTGTGACTCATTTATTGTCAATATAAGAACATGATGGCTACAAAATGAGAACTTGTAGAGAAATTCGATTTTTCAAGTTATCGTCTGTGATTCTTGTTTACTGAATATCTCCTGAAAATATCATCTTAACAAGTTGAATATTCAGCAGTGTCACATATCCAAGATTTTGGAGAAGTGCTCACATCTCTGCCGAGAGTCGCTGCATTTTCAGCGCGAGATGCGGCACCCAGTGTGAGGGATGCATATCTCTCAATGACCTGATACATCTCCAATGTGACACTACTCCATTTATATATTTTTTCGTGCTGTTACATAGTCATGTAACGGTCAAACAGTTAAACGTGTGAAATGGACGAAGAAGTTGCTAGAACAATAGTTTTGTTAACTGTATTTTTCGATCATACGTCGAACGAGCCTATTAAGAATAACAGAGACGTCTAATTGTGTTCCATATGCAACGGCGGAAAAACATTTTCCTAAAAGTTTTGTATCGAACATTGAAATTGTTTTTAAATACTAGGTAAAAGGCCTTCAAGCCACTGCAAGTGCCCTGATTGCACAAATTATCGATGATCATAATGAAGAAAATGAAATAGATAAAACGGCTGTTTCCTGGTCTTTTTTTAATGCACAAGAACAAGCGCATAGAAATCTAAGCAAAGAAAATGGAAACTTCATTTGGTTTCAATTATTCATCGAACCCTTATTGAGAATGAGAAGTGTGGACATTGAAACATCCCTCGATGAATATGTTTCAATGTGCAAACTCCAGTACAAGGGGAACCTTAGACAATTGAAAACTATCGAAGAATTTCAACAGACATATGACGCTGAGCATTGCCTTTGGTGGTATTCGAAAGAGGTATTTCTCTACAGTATTCTAAATAGAGCACTGCGAGCGGGTGATATTGATACTCTCTACACTTTTCGTTTCATTATTCGTGATCTATACCAAACACTTCAAGAAAACAAGCAGTTCAATCAACCAATTTTAGAGCTTTATCGTGGACAAGCACTATCCGTAGATGAATTATCTCGAATAGAAGCAAGCATTGGCCAATATATATCGATGAATAGTTTCTTCTCAACTAGTATAAAAAGGCCCGTAGCATTGTTATTCGCACAATCCACAGACACAATCAGCAGTAATTTAAAACCAGTTTTATTTCATACAAGAGTCAATACCCAGCCACCGGACACAAAGCCGTTCGGTGACGTGCAAAAATTTAGTCACTTTGGAGAAGTCGAAAGTGAAATATTGTTCCTGCTCGGTTCAGTATTCAGAACTCAAGGAATTCGATTTCAAAATGATGAACCAGTTCACATAGTTGATCTTGAACTATGTGGTGAACAAGAAATCGAATTAAAAGATCTTTATATTCGAATGAGGACAGGGATTGGTGAGGAAACCAACATTAAAATTCTTGGAAATGTTCTGAAAGATATGGGATTACACAATAAAGCATTGAAATATTATCAAAACCTTTTGAAACAATTAAAACAAAATGATTCCTCCATTCAAAGTTGCTGTTATGGTATTGGTCAAGTCAAGCAGCTTCAAGGTGATTACGATGGATCATTGTCCTACTTTCAGATGGTATTAGGTCTCGAATCAAAGTTTCCTTCCAAAGACAAAATTGTGCCTGGCTTCACACATAATTATATTGGTATTGCTTATCATTACGGGAAAAACTTCGACTATTCACGAGCATTGGAACACTATCGACAGGCATTTGATATTCATCCGAAAGTCAAAGATCGTGAATTCATAGGAACTGCTTATGTATATCAAAACCTAGCTACACCATATCGGGCCTTAGAAGATTACGATAAATCACTTCAGTATCACCATGAATGTTTGAACGTAAAGAAAGAACTGTTCGGTACAGAACAAGACTGGAGCATAGCTGCCAGTTACAACAATATTGGTAGAGTTTATCATTATAAAACGGATTTCAGACTAGCGTTAGAATATTATAAGAAAGCATCAGAAATTCGTCTTAAAACTCTACCTGAGAATCATCATGATATAGCAGCATCCTTTTATAATATCGCCAAAGTACAAAAATCATTGAAAGATTATCGCTCAGCAATGGAATTTTCTCAGAGATCGTTGGATTTATACACGAAAGCATTTGGTGAAAGCTATCCATTAGTCATTGATTTGAAAGAAAAATAAATTTTTTTACGTGAAAAAATTAACAGTACAAATCTGCCTACGAGCCAAAGTCAAGAATCATCTTCAATTTCATCCAACGTTAAATTGACAAATTGGAATCCATTCGATACGTTTGCATTATGAAGTCATAGACCAGTATGTATATGCACATTCGGAACTGCCGAAATGTTAGCTCTCAGATGCATTCCATAGAAAATGGAGCAAGAGTTTCAATACAATGCTATCGAACGTTCATAAAATAAAATAGATGTGATGAATTCGGTTTCATTAAATTATAGTGCAACCATCATATATGCAAAAGGCTTTTTCATTAAAAATCGATTATATCTTCTGTAAGTGTGCGGGTTGTGAATGAACTGTACGCTCACATTATTGTAATCTATTTAATAATGATGCTTTTATCATCAGTAAGTCGAACCTCTAATAATCCTTGTGATTGATCATCTCTGATTTCTCAGAAGAATGATTCATCGAACTCTACTTATGTTATATCAAAATTTATTAGAAGTTGCTTGTGAATAAATCCTGCAGAGATTTACAACAATGGAAGCGACTTGGCCTGCACTATATCTTTATAATGAAATTTTTCTAGACAAGTTTTGAAATATATAAAATCTGAATGTATTGCTCGAGTTGTAATGTGGAAAAAAAAGTAATTCTGGGAAAATTTTCTTTTCGGTGAATCTGGAATATTGTTTTTTTGCCATTTCATCTTTCGTTTTGTGAACTACAACAGTCTATATAAGAATGGCTGACGACATATTTTGAGCTATAAGAGAAGTCTGATGATGCCATTCGGTAGAATGGATTGAGTTGTACTACGAGAATAAGAATTAACAGTTTTCAGAAAAAAAGGTTCTGTTTGGAGATAAGAGATTATGTAAATGAATCCTGTTAAAGAGTGTAACAGCTTGAACTATAGGGGTTGCCATTATATGCTGATCGATTTGTATTCTGTACATGGAAATGAAACCAGCAACGTTTCATAATCAAATCTTGCGTCTATTTATTTGAATTTAGACTAGTCGTTCGTGTGATTACCTTAGTAAAACCTTTGACAAGATTAGTAATAATAAAATTTTAATGTTGGAAACGCATAGCGATTTCTTAATTTTATCTGACAAAGAATACTCTGTAGGATGTTTATTATCCTTTAAGTATTTATTAGTATCTAATTTGACTTTTCTAATTAAAAACAATAAATATAATTAATCAAACGCACATTCATTCGCAAACCAGAAAAAACATACTCTCATTATGAATACATTGATTATGTAAAGGTAGTATAGAAGAATTGGCGTAAGTCAAGTCATCTAGTTTAGGGATTTGAACGTTCCCATTTTTTTGAGTTTCATTCCTAAATAATAGAAATTTACTTGAAAATTCCTTTTGATATATTTTAGAATATTGAGACATCTTTTTGCTATATTTCAATTTATATTAAGCCACTATAAAATTCTTGGAAATAGAATTTTAAACTGGCGACTCTAATGTTTTGTCACAATTGATAATATCATTAGAAGAAGCATTTTATGATGCATTTTAAGTTTCCATTGTAGTAGTATTATACTTAATTTAATTAGAACTTTTGCGTGAGTGAAAAAATTGCTTTAAAGAAATAAGATTGATAATTCTGTAGAATTATATAATTCACATTGAAGTTGTTTAGAATAGAGACTTTCAACCTCTTCCTATACATCTAAAAAGACAGAAGCTCAAATCTCACTAGCTTCACTTAGTTGATTTGTCATGTTTGACATTGAAAACATTTTCATTTCGAACCCAACAGAAAAATTTTCGGCATCGAGAAACATTAGATAAATGGTCATTTTCTACTTAGGAATCAGGAAAGTGTGACTGTTCTATTTCTTTGCAATTTTATGAATTAGAGAAATAATGTATGTAAAGAACATTATAGGACAAGAAAAATATTACATTGTAAGTTGTTTTGCCTTCAATAAAATTAAAATTATACTTTTTGACAGTGAAGTATGTTGTACAAATAGTATTAAGTTTCATACCAGATGATTACTTATGGAAGTTATTATAGATTCAAACGATGCATGAAAGTTTTTTTTACCAGAAATTTCTTTATTTTTTGGCTACAATTACTTGAGTTTACTCACGTTTTCTCAAATGAGCTGAAAAATTAAATGGTTATTGAAGCGAATAATTTCATATTAAAGTTTCAATGAATCATATGCTAGTTAAACAAGACATAGCTGTCAATGAAATGGAGTTACTTGATTTTGAAGAAAGTTGGTTTCTACGAGGCATTATGAATTTACCAAGCTATTAGTAAAAGTCTTTTGAAATAAGACTGATCCCTCTATACTTGTATGTATGTTGAAATATCAAGTAAATAAATAAAGTGTAATGGCACAGCCAGTGACGTATTTAGGAGGGGGGGGGGGCGGGCCCGGGAAAAACGATTTAAATCCCTGGAGGGGGTACAGACTAATTATTTTTTAGAGGCTAAAACTCAAAAAATTGCCTATCCTTCCATATCGCCCCCTCCCCCCTCTAAATAATTTCTGGCTACGTCACTGAGCACAGTCTATTGATTTGAACCCTGAAGCCAGCAAACAGCAAAGCATTTCAAAGTACTTACATATTTATTTAATAGTGAAAAAGGCGACAGCCGCTACCAGACCGTACTGTTCTGTGTATATGATAATTGTTTGTCAGTAGATGCAAAGTAATCGGACTCGATAGAAAACTATACTCTCATTCTAATATATAAGTTCAAAAGAAAAATGTAGAAAGAATGGGAAAACAGCTTTTAATTACCTATCAGCGGTTTCATATTGTTAGGACATCTATACGGTGATGTTAGTGTTATAACAAAAGAAAAGAAAGCAATTTTAGTTCCTCGTCCTTTAAAAAATAAATGAAGTAAGCCGAGCCAGGATATTTTATCTAGGAGCGAACTTCCAAATTACATCAAGCTAATTTGTTATCTACTTTATTTCAAAACGACGAGTCTCTTGATAACTCGTCTCTATGTATTTTTTTTATTGTGAACAATTGCTTTGTTGAATCAAAAACAAGGAATTGATGAGCAGCGATTAAGATATGAATTCAATTCAATAACGGAAGTCTGTAATAATCACATATCGGATCATTCAAATAGCAAATTATTTCTGACATAGATAGAGAAGAATTTTCACATGCGTATCATATGAGCCCAGAAGGATTTTCAATAATTATTTAAAGATATTGTAAAGCCTTTAGACATATAGTAAAATTCATCGAGAGAGCAGTGAAACACGAAAACCTTCAAAATAACTAAGAAAAATGCAGCTGTGTCTACTTGAATATTTAGCCGATTTAAAAGCATTAGAGAACTATACCTTATTTCATCCTCTTAGTCGCACTCGAAAAATACGTTTAGAAAACAGGAAACATCAATTCTACAGCTTTGGGCAGTCTCGTGATATCATATGTAGGCACATTCCAGATAGAAATAATTTCTTTTAACTTTGAACGGTATAGTTCTAGAGAACACAAGGTCAAGTGTTAGAGGAGAATGAAATAATTGAACCTAGTTGAATCTAGTCGAAAACAGAAAAAATAATCTGTCTAGAATTCACTGAAAAATGACGAGATTTTCTGAGTAGTACTACTATTCTCCAAGACATATTCATATCCTGTGTTGTTTTAGAGGAGTTGTTTTCTACATGTTGATGTTGTAGACACAGACAGACACGGAATTCATGAAGCTTTCTCTCTCTTTCCATACGTTCTGAAATTTGAAAGATGTTTGAATTCGACTTATAGGAAAAGAACTGGAATATTAAAAATTAATATTTAACACGCTCGATGTATTCAAAAATATTTTATGGATATGAGCTATACGATATGACAAAACATGTGAATATAGTTTATAAAGTTGAAGAAAAAAAAACTACTGGACTCTGTATGTCTAGAAAATAAAATAAACTTGTTACCCAAAACACGCTTTTATTCACATCGATGACTTCACTTAATTTAGATTTTTACTTCCGCTCGAACAATTATACAAACACAATTATAACTTTCATTCACACATTTAATCGTATTTGAACAAAATGATTTTATGTTTCTTACTACTTTTTTCTCTAAAACACCATCAACGATTATTTTGAATTATAGTACATTTATTTATTAATCTGCTCAGATGTATAAATAAAATAATGGTCAGTTTTATCAAGACATATTAGCTTGAAAACTAATTTACACAATTCAATGGTTGTTAAATATTTTGATAATTAAACAAATCATTGAATAAATGTAAACCGGTTAGTAATGGAACAAATTAATTTAATGGAGAAAAGCAAACCATTATTTGCAAAACTAAACATTTTGTAGTAAGAGATCTAATAAAACATGTCTAAATTTGCTAATAATCATGCATATTTATTTCGACGATTTTAAAATTCACAGCAAAAGAAAAGCAAAACGAACTGTTTTTCTATGTATACTTGAGTGTATTAACATTCTATCGACGCGATGATTTCATTTTACCAGCTAAACCATTCCCAGATGTTAATTGTGGTTTAAGATTAATATTGATGCTTTTCATGGGTATTACAGTTGATATATTATTGCTATGCATTTTAGTTACTGTTGGTATGTTTCGTTGGCTTCTAACTGGAAGTGGTTTTACTCTGGTTTCAGTACTTGTCTTGCTACACCAACTAAAGATTAAATATAAATATTAATAATAATAATCAAATATCAAATAGTATCAATTTTAACTTACGAGCCACAGCATATTTGCCAACAAATACAACCAATAATTAGCTATGCAAGAAAATATTCAAGAGTAGTGATTTAGTTTAAATTAAAAACAAAAACTTACAAGTCCTGCAAATCCCCCAAGACCCACTCCAAGACCTACTGCAAGTGCTTGTGTATCCTCGTTCATATTTCGTCTTCTTCTTCAAAATAACAAAAAGGAAAAACATTAGATTTTGTTTTGTTTTGTGAAGTAGCACGTTGTTCGTATGAAAGAAAATACGAAACAAAAATAAAGAGCAACGCTACTTGTTAAAGTGTTTGATTTTTATTACTGAAAATAATTTTCTTTTAGTTGAAACCATCACTTTACAATACGCACAATATGATTCTTTATCTTTTCTATTTGTTTTCATTAGAAAAATATCAGCAACTTCTTTCATTTCCTTTCATTGTGTTTTGCTACTGAACACCTACGTTTTCAAGCATTAGCTTAGAACAAAAAACAAATTCAATGAAAAATATAAGAAAAAAAATATTAATTCCACAAAGTGAAGAAAAAAGGAAGATTTTATTACTGGCATGGAATGCAATTTCTATATAGGTGTCTAGTGAACAACAGTATATTTGATACGACGGCAACTTTCGATGATGAGAAGAAAAGAGAAGCAAAAGATTGCACTCGATACCCAAAATCTATCTATGAAAGTGATCATAGAACTGACTCATTAAAAAAAAAGAATGAAATGCTCATTTTCTCACACTTCTATAGCAAATAGAACGTATGAATATACGTTGCTAATAATAGTTCTATATGCTCTGTAGAGTATCCCAATCATGCATAGCTTTGATACAACAAATCGAAAAGAAAAAAAAAAGTTGATTTCCCAGATGATAACAATGTATTTTGCTGTTGATTACCTTTATCTGAGATAAATGTTAACTGTGACCTGAATATTTGAGATAAATTCATGAGGGAAAACATTTTACTAGTGGACAGTACTCAAATTCTTAAGTAAGAGTTACTAGAAGATGATTGCAAAGATGAGTAAAAGTTAAAATTGTATTGAACACAAATATTTCCAAACAATCTAAAATGAATATTTTTTCTATAAAAAATACTTTTTAGACATTCAATCATACGTCGGTGATGAATAGAAGGAAACGAAGTGTCTTCTTTACACTGGATGAACTATAGAATTTCCTTTTCTCTTCTTGCTGGCTTGAGTGGAAGTTAACATTTTGTAAATTTTCAATCTTACGAGGGTAGGTCACCAAGTGTTCAATCGCTTTTAAGCCAGAACTATGTGTGTCATGCAGACCCCAGTAAGGTATGATAAACTCCAAAAGGATAAGAGCGGATAGGCCTTCTGTCCAGAGTTATAGTCATTTTACTGAAATTTTAGCCTCTGACATAGTATATATCAACAAATCGAATGTCAGTATTTTGACCTGAAATTTTGCCCATCGACAGGTCTCTTTGTGAGTAGAACGCTCTGAAATTTTCAGCTCAAAGGAATGTTTTGTTTCCGAGATATTAAAGTTCCAAAAAGCACTCATATTTCACGACAGATACTAAAATGTTCTGATTTTTTAGACTTTCATATTTCGGAAACGAAACATTCTTTTGAGCTGAAAATTTCAGAGCATTCTATTCATAAAGAGATCTGTCAATGGGCAAAATTTCAGGTCAAAATACTGACATTCGATTTGTTGATATGTATTATGTCAGAGGCTAAAATTTCAGTAAAATGACTATAACTCTGGACAGAAGGCCTATCCGCTCTTATCCTTTTGGAGTTTATCATACCTTACTGGGGTCTGCATGACACACATAGTTCTGACTTAAAAGCGATTGAACACTTGGTGACCTTCCCTCGTTAGAGTTGATGAACTTACGAAAAATGCTACTCTTGTATAAACACACGACGTTTTGACTTCCAGTATTCTTATCTGAAATAGGGGGAAAAGCATTCTTAGTAAACTGCGTAAAATTGAGAACTACCTGATGAAGTCACGATTAATGGAACAGTAGATTATTTTTGGAAATAATTCAAATTTCATTATTTCGCCATTATTTTTTCTTTTGTTGAACCAAATATAATCAATGTCTAATAACAAAATATCTATTTTTACTTTGTGATTAAAATTATTTTGTATTGAGCAAATTCTTTCAAATATAATCCTTTAGCTTATACACCAAGGGGCGAAAGCGACTCCTGGATCCTTGGATTCAGATGACTCCTCATGGGTCCTGGTAGATTCTGCGGATTCTACTGGATTATGGTGGATTCCAGTGAATTCTTATGGGTCTTGGTGGATGTTTGAAGATATGTGAAGATCAGTATCAGTTCCTTATCGCTGTCACTTGCTGCCTTTTTAGTCTATTATAATGACTTATTCCGTTAGACTAAGTTGCTTTTTAAAGTTTTCTATTGTAGCTTCTCGGATTGATATTCGTCTACGTAACATAAAGTCTTGTAATCATTAACATCTTGTACAAGGTTATCCAGCAACTCTATTTGCTGTCAAAGGAAAAGTTAAAAACATAACTTGTAAATTCCATGAAACACATGAAGTTTGACTTTTTTTCATAAAAATATGGGATAATTTGCAATTTAACATGAAGAATTAATTAATACATATACAAAGTCATGGGTAGAAACAAAATAGTATTCTTCGTTTCAACAGTATCGTCTATATTGTAAAAAGGCTAAATAATTTTTTCAGAACTATTGTAACGCATGTCCAGTCATAGAGTAATATGACAAATAAATCCTTCGGTTCTTCTCTTTTTGTGTACAAAAAATCTGTAAGTTTTTTTTCTAAGCATTTAGAGGCAAGAAACGATATAAAGACCATTTAGATCTTTGAAAAAATCAATGATCATTTTCGTATTTTTTTCAAAACGCGATGAAAATCATTGATCCTACGTATATGAGTCTCACTCTTCTCCTTAGCAACTGCAAATTGTTAAAAATATTGAGATACACTCATTAATGAAAATGGATCCTAGCGGATTCTATGGATCCATCAGGAGCCGCTCCCCCCCCCCTTGTTATATATTAACTAACCAAAACTTTATCTTGAAAAGTCAAACTAATGCAATATATTTTACTAATATCACTAATATGCAGCTAAATAAAATTGTTTTAATTGATATCTTAATTGGCCAGGCGCTAATGAAATCGTTTGATATAAACATGTAGGTAACCGAGATGATACTCAAATATTCTTGTTACCGACCTGAATATTCTACATTTTCTTACACACATATCCATAACTTCATAGAAAACAAAGAAAATATTGTGTGTAATAATAATTTTTTCAATTTATTACTCGTGCTGAATTCAATAACACAACTACAACTATGAATATCGATGACTATATTCTCCTAATTGTTGTATTTTCGTATTATTGGCGATCAACAAATAATATACTTTTGAAATACTAAGATACATCGTGATCGTTGTCTTGATTAGTTATTAGTAACTGAATATGAATTTTATTTCGTTTTGCAGAATCAATGGTATTCAAGAGATACTCAACAATGAATAACATGTTAACTTTTATCGGTATCTAATGTGAAAAATGATGCATGCATCGATAAGTCAAAAGAACTGATTGATAATCGGTATTATGTTCGTAGCGTTCATAAATAGTAATGATACTGTGCAATTAGGAACATCATACATCAAAACACAATTATAATGTGAATAGCTATATGCGAGTATTTTAACGAAATGAAACACAACCAATGAATCGTGACACCATATCGTTTAAGGTTTTTTATTTGTATAATAACTCTTTCTCATCAGTAGAAATTTCTAGAATACATTGAATTTAAAAATCTTCAGTGAATGTTTCGATTTGAAAATAATTTTCGTTTCCTGCTGATACAAATTTTATCTGCTTTTCGAACATAGATATTCATTGCCAGAACGAAATAATAATAGCTCTGCGTGATAAATTGATTCATCGATGGTTTTTTAGCTACTGAGCACAAACTTACTTTCAAGTTCGTTTCTAATAGAAGAAAATATTTGGCCTCATTCGGAAAGAATGAAAAAAGAATTCTTATTAATCATTACTACGGAGAAATGTTCGATAGCAGTTGACTTAAACATTTTAGTAATGTGTATCATAAGTACATAATTGACATCACAAATAAAAGCTATTAATAGTTCATATTTAACGATTATTCATCGCAAACAGGAACAGTAAAGATAACATTGTGACTATCAAAGCACACAAATGTGCTCGCGCTTCGATACAATCATTTTATTTTCAATATGTCAACAGCAGCAACGAATAGATTTTTTTACGTTGATTTTTTTTTGTTCTTTCGTTCTTTTTCCTCACTGCTCTTCAGAAATTATTATTTTCGTTTCTACATTTTGTCTTTTTCTTGCTCCTATTAAGCATACATGCACATGCCCATCTTGTTTAAAAAAAACAATTAAACAGTTGATATTTAAATGGCAATGACCACCCTCTTCACAAACGGTGCCGGTACGGCAACTCGTGGCTTCTTTGAACCATTACAATATAGGCGATGTGTTGAGCACTATGAATTTGGTAATGATTTGCTTGAAGAACTTTCAAGTATGTTTGAAGAACGTTCAGCGATAGAAAATTCATATGTCAATGCATTACGTTCTTGGTCACGAAAATGGCATGCTGAATTAACAAAGTTATCTGAATATGCATCAAATAAAAAGGTTTGGGACCAAGTCGTATCAACAGGCGAACAAATGGCCGATATGCATCAAAGCATCGTATCAAATTTTCGTGATAATATACAACCAAAATTAAAACAATGGAAAAAAGATAACTATGAAAAATCAATCATAAATTATAAAAAGTCAATAGAATTTGAAAAAGAATTTGAACAAGTACAAAAACCGTGGTTGAAATTACTCGAATCAATTCAGGAATCGAAAAAAGCTTATCACAAAACAACTAAATTACTAAAACAAGCTGAACAAAAGAAAGAAACCATGCCACTTGAAACACCACCTGAAATGCAAAAACAAATTGTTGATAATTATATACAAATTAAACTTAATGTTGAAGCAGCACGATTAAAATATCAATACTTATTACGTGATGTTGCGTCTAGTGCTGAACCACGACAACGTTATGAAGCTAATATGATAGAAATATTTCAACATACGCAAGCATTTGAAAAAAAACGATTAGATTTTTTCAAAGAAATCTTCGCTGAATATACTAAAACATTACAACAGCAGCCTGTTTTTAGTAAAATGTTTGATGATTACGTAAAAGTATTGCAAACACACAATACTACTGCTGATCTTGATACTTGGTACAAAACTGATGGGCCCGGTTCGCACTCAAATTATCCTGTTTTCGAAGAATCTCAAGATGCGATTCCATAGAACAATGAATTCTTTTTTTTAAATATAATCTAGATTGGTGTGTTAAGTGAAAAATTCGCGCAGTAAAAAAGCACCAACGATAAATTTTTAATGATCTATGCAAAATAGTTTCATAAAAAAATAAAGAAGTTGCCAAATAATGATTGTACGTGAAAAGGTCAGAATCAACTTCAATCGACTCATTTCATATGTAGTAAATCTTAGCCTGAAACTTTCTTTTCTACCAGTAACACAGTTTAAGATATAATGTATTATTTATTCACGAAGGTATAACATATAATTATCTACGCTTTGTATTGGCAGAAGTTCAAGTTTTTCAAGACGATAACCATGGTATCTGAATTTATTTCTATGAACATTGATAAGATTAAATAACTGTGCTCAATAAATATTGATGCAGATTTTAATTATTTCAATACGTAATGAAAAAAACAAGCCAAACAATGCCGCATGCTTTGATTTTTTGTGAAGTCGTTATGTACACACTATTGTGGTAGGATTTTCAATAATAAATATAAGCGACTATTTATCATTTTTCTTGAGAATTTTTCAAAATAACTACATTCATCTGATTGTCTTCGCATCGTGCACTGAAGAAATTAGAATAAAAAAAAACATTAAATTCAGTGTTAATGACTTTTCTAGTGAAGTGATATTAAAAATATTGTAATTATAGTCTATTCGTTCTGTTTTTCATGCTTGTCTTCTCTTCATTTATATCTTTTTCTATAACTAATTTGTTCTTCTCAAGAATAAAAAACCTTGTGTTATAGGCCAATATAATTTTATTTGAAAAAAAAAAGATGGAAGACTGTTTTTTTCATTCTTTGTATTAACATCGTAATCGATGATAAAGATTGCGGTTCGTTTCTTATCATTTATGTTGTCATATGTAAATCTGAATATGTAAAACCTATAAAAAAATTAGCAGTACTTTCATTGACCATGCCACGAAGGTTTGTCTAATTCGTGTTTAATGATTACAAAATGATCATGGCTGATAGATGAATTTATATCGTTATTTTTCGTTCATTTCGTTGCTCAAGCAATCGCTTCGTTGTTGAAGATGATCCAACCGATACTATACTAAGATGTGCAGTTACATCATTGTTATGAGCTTTTTGTTGACTAATAGATGAACGTGATGGTTCTTGTCTATAACATGGAAGTAATTTTAAAAATTCTCGTCGAAAATCTTGCCCACTTAATGTATATAATACAAAATTGAGTGCATGTTTTGTATACCATAATGATTCAAATAAATCAAGAACAATTAGTTTCGTATTTGAAATTGCTGTTGATGTTTTTAAACGATTTAAACATATATAAATAACGGATGGACATGTTAAAAGCATAAAAGCTACTATAATAGATAATAACATAATAGTTACGCGATTGTTTCGTTTCTGTTTTATTGATGTTATATATAACATATTTGAACGCATTGTTTTACGAATAATGCCAATATTCGTAAATGTCATAAGACAAAATGGTATGATAGCAACAAAAAGTAAATCAAATATAGGAACATATAAATGAAAAAATTTTTTGAACGGTGAATGTGCAATGCATACAAAACGCGTAATCTGCGCAACAGTTTCATTAGAAATATTATTAGTTTTTTGAGCGTTCGGCATGTTCATTACCATTTCAACTCCTAAAAGAGAAAACAAAATTGTTTTTACATAAGCTGAAAATTGTTTTTTCTTAATTTTTTTTGTACCTAAGATACGAAAATAATATATATTGAGAAGTGATACAGCTGAAATAAGCAAACAAGTTGAGTTAGTCACACTCCAACCTACATGACGGCGGGGAAATAAATTTTTTACAATAAAGTATCGATCAAAACTAACAATGACAAGTATCCATGATGCTAAATGTGACAGTGTTGATGATAAAAATATATACGTTCGACATATCCATAATGATGCATTACGTATATCAACACGATATATATGTCGATATAAGAAACGTGCTGATCTCATATAAATGAAAATAATATCAATAACAGCAAGTATACATAAATATTGACATGTTGATTGGCAACGAAAACGTTTACGGAGAAGAATTTTCAAACATAATATATTACCAATCGTCCCGAAAATCATTAAACACGGATAGAAAACTCGAACAAGACCAGCTCGAACAATACTATGCCACATATTTTCTACTAATATGTAAAGTAATAGTCAAAATAGAATAATTAGAATGTTCTAAAATATTTGCGTATACACTATGACAACTTCCCATAGAGGATATATTTAAATAAAATAGAAACGTCATTGCTAATTTCCAGTGTTCTCAAAACGATAGAATATATATAATCAAATTGACAAGCTCTTTTTTTCCATTTCTTCGAATATATTAGTATATATTTATATGATTCTATTGTTAATGAAGTTGATTGTTATTTAAAAAAAAAAGGAACAACGTTATTATGATATGAAAAATAAGAAGAAGAATACTTGTCTTTCATTTCTGCGTCCAACTGCGAGCGAAAACATGACATTTGAGCGTCGTCGACATATACCTTGATTATGACCGCTCAACTAAAAGGCCCTTTATAGTATATGACTAAAGATGGCGAGTGTTCAATTCATTTATTTCATAATTTGAACTATTTTTTAGAAAATCTGTTATATAGTTTAAAATTTTTGCATGGAGTAATATATGAACATGCTGTTTTTGAAGAAACTTTCGAACACGGTTTTAAAACTCTTTTTAAATGTTAACAAGAATTTCAATTGAACTTCATTAAACTCATGAATAGAGTGTTAATTTTATTCTACAGAAAATGGTATGGTGTATAATTTATCATCATTATATAATTATTTCGATGAGTTTCTTCGTAATTAAAACTATTCGAATTTTTGGGACGACTAGAGAATCAAATAGAATAGTAATTAATTTATCTCAGATACATAGAAAAATCACCAGGATCTATGAAACAAACAATAAACTTGGCGATGATGGCCTATTGTCGTATATTAATTATGATGATATACTAACAAATCTTTCTTTATCTAATTTCATATTAAGAATTTTTTTATGTTATTCAACATCGAAAAGCATGAACATGATATCTAATTTTTCTGCTATATGCACACATATCTTCTTTTAACGGAAAAAAATATACTGTTTCGTATGAAAATTCCATACAACCATCGACTTTTATCTAGTAATCGAATCGTTATAAACTATCATAATTCGTTTTTTCTCGTTTTTGTAAATTTATGTGTATTCAATTATTTATTTCTTGGAAAAATAAATTCTTTATCCTTTAATGTCTTATCAAATAAATAAATCGTTAAGATTGTAAATAATTGATGGCTGGTGTGTGGTTTTCGGATTACTTTCATAGATCGATAAGTGTAATGTTTGAAAATTGAAATGTGCCGTACAAAGTGTACATGCATTTCGATTTTTTTCTAAAGTACGAAATATTGCATAGGCTTCGTTTTTAGTATCACCCAATAAATCTAATGCATCACTAATTGTAGATATTTGACCTAATTCTTGGCCACGTTTCGAACGAGTATGTGTCGATCCAAGCGATTTTTGTTCAATAATGACTTCATTTAAACGTTCATAATGATTATAATGCACAAAATAGTTTAATACTGTGTAACCTTCATCTAGAGACAATAAAGTTCATTCGAGTTCTTTTCTTTTTTATCATATGCTCTTTTTACCTTCTTTTCGGTTTTCTTTCTGATCATCATTTACTACAAAACATTTACTTAAATAATTCCCATTGTCTTTGTTTAAATTAGGTCCAATTTCATAATTCAATAAATAATTATTTTGACGAAAAAAAGCTCCGTTTATACAAAAACCAAATGCTACAGGATATAAACGTAGTAGATTATCTAAATCTTGTTCATTTTCTATTGATAGTAGCGCACGATTAATTATTTGCCGTGGTAAACGTTTATGTGCAACATACTTTGGATAGAGTCCATTTAACCCAAATGCGAAACCGTGCTTATTAGCACCGAAAGCTGTTCCTAAAATTAAAAAACAAATTAAGTATCATAGTAAAAATAACTCGCAATTATGAGACATTGAGTAAAAATTCTCCATTTTATGTTTATTTGAAATAGGGCAAATCTCAATAAAATATAAAGTTATTTATGGAAATATATCAGCAACTTTCCACGTCAATTCGGAAATAGTATTATCATCAACAGAAAAATTAGTTTGTTCGTCGATTCATGATAAATCATGTTTATATATGAGGGCAATGAACAATTAGTTACTTGCTCGATACATATTACACAATGAATCGGAATGTAAAAATAATCCAATTTTTTCTTAGAGATTATAGAAAATTTTTTAACGTCATTAAATAATGAGCACTTTGCTTAGTTAGAGTAAAGCTTCAAAAATATGTCAAATATTAATTATATTTAAGGAAGGTTCTTCCAAACAAGCACAGATTTCTCTAATGTATGGGTTGCAAAGGATTTAATCGACTGTTTTCGAGGTAAAGTTCTATTGTTTTTGCAGTTATATATGACTCGACCTCACGAGTACATATAGAGTAACCTGGGGTAATTGTAAAATGGAAAACAGTCGATTTCAGCATAATTCCTATAAATTTTTCATTTTTCGTTATTTTTAAAACTTTTCTTCACAAGATACCTAGCTCCGTATCTGCTCTATCGATAGGTGAAAAAAATCAACTCAAAATACTGGGCATAGAGCTATCCACAGAGTATTCTTTGATCTCAAGTTTTCATGCATGCATTCATTCCTGCTGGGCCTAATGTATCCACACGCTGATGCCATTGAGGTAAATGTATAATCCGAGTCAATTTTCATAGGTTTCAAAAATCTTAATTTGTGAAAAATCAGTACCTCATTTTTCAATTCTTTTTTCATCAATCGATAGCTCAAAGTCTCTTCTGCCACCCTAAATTATTCTTAATTTTATAACTCAATTCCATATATCCTTTAAACAGCTCACAAAATGAGCACCAAAAGAAAAATCTCTACATGTTCACCCCAACTGGGGTAATTGTATAATCGCTATTGCATCACAGGAGTGAATATATAATCGCAGCAGTTTTTGCTGAACCTAGTAAAAACCAATTCCTCTACGATCCAAATTGACTTTTAATGATCATTCAAACGTAACAATCTTTCAGATGTTCAAGCTCTATCACTCTAGAGCATTTTTAAGATACTTTGAAAAACTTTAAGTTTTTTTCCAATAATAGCATTTTGAGTTTTAAAGTATCAAAGGAAAAAAGGGATCAGAGACAATTATTTTATCATAAGTGAACAACAATTCAATCATAAAGGAACGTTACCAGTTGTACGAGATAGAAGCAATCAGATTGGTGATAGAATTGGAAAAAATATTTCTTTTCTTCGTTTTATATACATTAAATCGGTCATTGTTTAAGTACATTCAAGGAGAGTACCGCCCCAGGTGAATGAATCCGACAACGGCTCTTATCGAATCCTATGGGATCCGATTCCCTGACAGAGTCCGGTAGAATTCCTGGACACGGACCTATTGTCGGTTCCGACGGAAAAAAAAATCATTGTCTTATTCGCGATCAAATAAGCATTTTGAGCCATCAGAGCGCAAGGGTGATTCGTTAGAGTTGGATTCCGTTAAAATCTAACATCGAATCCGATTGGATCCAATACCAAGGATCCGACTGTAGGTCCGTGTCCAGGAATCCCATAAGATTTCGTCGGTTTGATTGAAACACATATGGTATTCAGTATACTCACTGTCTGACCCTTGTCGGGATCCGATAGGATCCCACTGCCGGAATGATTCTCCTGGGGCCTGATAAAGTTAATCGGAAAGAATATTTTTTGCTTTTAAACTATTTTCTTTAGTCTCAAGTGGTAGATATTGGGGTTTATGAAATTTCCACTTTCAACTGATTCATTTAATATATGCTGGTCGTACTATTTCTAGATTTTGATTTAATGCCACGTACTTTTATTCGAAAGAAAACGCTTAATTATTGTGCTAGACCTGATTCGTAATGGAACAACGGCAGTGAAAGAGACTTCTACAAACTATAAAATATTTATTGCAATTCTCTATTCACGTTTATCTGGCCATCGTGGTGATCGCAAATCAGGCGGTCAAACAATTTTAATCGAAGAAGAAGAAAAGTTTTTAATACACGTTGTACAGAAGTTTCACGAGTGGCAACACTCATTCACTAGATCCGATTTTATTTCTGTAGCACGTACTTTTATGATTGAATTGAACAAGCCAAACGTCACATGCGAATCACGCCTAAATGAGTGTTTTCTTTTCTTTTCGAAAACAATGGAGTAATGATATTAAGATTGGCGAATCTTGAAAACTGGAAAGTGTGAGATCTGCCTCATGTACTCAATTAGTAGTTGGTAAGAAAAATTTACTATTATTCTAAATTTTTGTGAGTTGTTCCCTAGATCGTTGGTTTGATCATTTACATCAAATTCTCTCCAAGTTAAATCTCTTTGGTCGACTGAATCAATATATAACGTAGATGAGTCGGCGTTTGGTGATGATCCCGGTCGAAAATATGTCATTATCAAGAGAGATTCGAAATATGCTACATATGCTCAAGGTGGATCTGGTAAAATTTATACTATGCTTCTTATGTGTACTTCAGCTTCTGGAAAGTAAGTAAAATTGCCGATTTTTGTATATTTATTCTTTGCATTTATTAGATTTTTACCTCGTTACATAACTTACCGGATACTCCGACTATTCGATGTGTGGATGACAAGAAATTGCTTCCCTGGATCTCGTTTCAACGCAACGCAATCTAGTTGGAGTGAAGAAAGAACTTTTTTTGATTGACTATGCAATCATTTTGTGCTATCTGTGAAGATGGTGAAACGACCCATATTGTTGCTAATGGATGGTCATCGGGCTCACTTATCTACCAGAATTATGAAGTATTCCATGGATAATGGCATTAGTTTAGAATACTTGCTACCACACACTACCACTATTCTTCAACCTCTCGATGTTTTGACACTATCAAAGGTGAAAACAAGTTGGAGAAAGCTGCTGCAAAACAAAGGGGAGCGCGACTTCCGTACTTCAAAGTACGATGGAAGTACAAGGTAGTACAAGTGAAGTACATGAAAGTACATAAAGTACGGAAGTCGCGCTTTTTCCCCCTTGCTGCAAAATCATTTCAAAGAAACGAATGCTGAGCCTCTTTTGAAGCAAAATTTTGCACTTTTAGTAAGCTTTTTTAATTTAATACTATTTTGTCTTTTCTCTTTTTAGATTGCTACGAGTAGCCCGAAGTTCGCCAATATGACTTTCGCCATTTGCGAAAGTCAAGCGGACATTTGCGAGTGCACCATCTGGACTCTCGTCAATAATTCGCGAAAGTTATATGGACAAAGTTCAGCGATCCCGACTGTTTGACCTGGGAACATCAGAAATGAAAAAACTCGTAAAAGTTTTTTGGTAAACATTTGACTATCAACAAGAAGCGCTCGCTTTCTATGTTTATGCATGAATTTAATTAACAAGTGATTATCGACTAAAATTGATTAACAGATAAGAAAATGTTGCATGGAATTTATAGTTAACAGTCCTAGCTAAAATATTTGATTTTTTCGATTTTGATCGTTAGGAACTCGTTAGAGAACCATGAAAGATTTGATCTTTTTTCTACAGTAGGTCACTAAACTCTGAAAGAAACTTGTACGCTGAAAATCATGAAGATTTAGGCAGTAGTTGAACCAAGATAATAAAAAGATTTTGTACAGTCTTTCTTCACTTTAGATCATTATTCTGATAGGATTTAAATCATTCTTATACAAAACCTTTTTCTCATATTTAGTAGAATTGTACTTGGATTTCTTCTAAATATGCTATCCCGTGATAATACAGAAGTAGCCGCTTTTCAAAGGTGAACAGACAACCAAAGAATACAGAGTAGAGATATTTAGATTTTCATTACAGAAATAGATCAGCGCTTCTGGTTGAACTGTGGTATACTATTACGTAAGAATCTATGCTAGATATTTAGAATTCTTAATTTATGTGAACTTCTACTTGAGTTTCAGATAAAAAGCACTCCACCGAATTCCTCAAATGTGATATTAGTCTTCTTTTTTTGTTCAATTGAAATCATGTCACTACATTTTTTTTTATTTTGAATCTAATAATAAAATATCCTCTTTAATGTTCTTTAATGAATAATTGAAATTATAAACACTTTCACTGAAAGACTTCTAACATGAGGAAAAATAAAGGGGCTCTTGAGAATTTTGTCGGGACTGCTCCGATGAATAGTCGTGATAGAAATGAGAGAAGAAATTGTATGTTAAAATAGAGTTCCAATAAATATCACTCGGCAAAAAAGAAGTAATCGCATGTAAAGCCAGGTCATAAATCAAAATTTTATATTAAAACGTCTCTATTTAGCTTCCTCGCACCATTCTAATGGAAATATATACAACTGTAACTTAGATAATCTCAGAATGCATTGAAATAGATTCAAATTGTAGAAATGGATCAAATTTATGACTCTTGTAGGGCTCACACACGGAAGCTTAGTTATGGATAAAGGAAAATGTTTTCAAGGAATATGAATCGGACAGATCAGATAGCGTCGTTTAGGCAAATTGAATCTCATCAACACTGTTACTATGAAGTAGAGAAACTTGCAAAATTTATCATCAGTGCGTTATAAGGAGCTAATTAACTTTAGATTTAAAGGAAGAAGCGATTTATAAGGATGCTTTTCGGACTTATCCCTAAATTGTATAGACATCGGATGGAGTCGCAAATTTCCCATAAGTTCTATTCTTGAAAAAATAATATCAACTCACCAACATCTACTGTTTCTGATACTTTACTTCTTCGCCGCTTAACTATTCAGTTTGAATGAAAAAGTCGACTTTGAAAGTTTTTCAATGGTATTTAGAAACGGTAGATGTTGGTGAGCTGATAGTATTTTTTTAAGAATAGAACTTATGGAAAATTTGCGACTCTATCCTATGTCTATACAATTTAGGGACAAGTCCGAAAAGCATCCTTATAAAGGGCTCCTTCCTTTGACTCAAAAGTTAATTAGCTCCTGATAAAGCACTGATGATAAATTTTGCAAGTTTCTCTACTTCATAGTAACAGTGTTGATGAGATTCAATTTGCCTAAACGACACCATCTGATCTGTTCGACTCATATTCCTTGAAAACGTATTTTTAATCTAGAACTAAGCTTACGTATGTGAGTCCTACAAGCACTAACAGTCATGAATCACAATTGTGCGAATTAATTATTGTACTTTTCTAATCGATTTTTATTGATTGTAATCAAAATTTTCAGTTGGATTATTCTGCAACAAAATCAAAATTATAATCGAGTGGAATCTTGATTTCAATCGATTATAATTTTGATTTTGTTACAGAAAAATCCGATTACCAATTTGGATTAAGCCCAGAGGATTTCGAAATTATAATCGATTTTAATCCCTAAAATTTTTCACTGGGAAGATTAATAGAAATTTAACTAAATTTCTACAGCTAGCATTGACTCTCTAAGTATTTTCTTTTTTCTTTTTTAATACGCGAATCTTATATTAAATATAATGGAAACTACTGCTTTTCAGTGTCAAACTGGCCTCCGATTGCACTTTTTTTAAAATATAGGAATCCTTAGAGGATCAAGGTTGTCAAAAATATAGGATTTTCGATAAAAAAAATGACAAAAAGAGAGGACATTTTATAAACCGCTTCTGTTCAATTGTTTTGATGTTTTTTAACTGCTCTGCTCGAAAATCATTTTAATGAAGCTGTTATAAAGAGTTCAACCGTAGCCAACATCCTTATGTAATTTTTTTACTGAAATAAGTCACTAATTCGAGGATCATTATAAAAGTTTTTCACAAATCGATAAATAATAATAACGTAGATCATACACTTTGAAAAAATAAATACATGTAAACGGCAAATACTATTTCTCATAACTAAAGGAGACGTTTCAGATTACGGACATGATTTCCCAAAAAGTCTCAACCTAATTTTATTGTCCTGATAATCAGCATTCATTGCTTATTATTTTCCACAAGTTTATTTTGTATTTTATTATAACTCAACTTTTTCTGGTAATAAATAAGTCTAAATGACAATGCATATACATATGATGGCGTAAAACTTCACGGGCTTTCAGAATATGTCATTACTTTTTAAAAATATGTTCTTTTGGTAACAATATTCTCAAAATACAGAGTGAAATCAATTTTTTTCCAGGGGTATATATATACAGCTTCTATATCTAACTAAAACTTCACTAAAAAACAGAAACTAGTACATGATCACTTTGTGAATGTTTTTTTTCTTTTGAACTATTTTGTATTTTGTACTTAGTATTAAACTATTTCTCAGCCAGCCCACTAAATAGGCGAAAGGAAAAATATTGTTTAAAACAAATGTCACTATAATACAACAATTTGTCCAAACACATGATTATACACATTAAAAGTTATTTTTTTCGTCTAAAGACAATAGCAAAATTAATAGGCTTTCGGAAATTTTCTACTTTTTTCGATAAAATATAGCAAAGATAGGAATTTTGAGGAAAATATAGGACAAAAATAGGACTTTTTTGAAAATATAGGAATTCTAGGAAATATAGGTCGAATTGCAGCGCAGGTTTCAAATAAAAAGATAAACTATCCTTTTAATCAACTACTCACGATGACAAGAAAATGATTATTTAAATCATATAGCATATGTCAAACTCGAAAAATTAGCAATTACCTGGAGTTACACCTGCATAGCAATAAGCAATAAATTTTTCATTTGGACTTTGACGTTTTTCATCGCCATATTCACTTGATCGAATATCAGCTTCAACAAGATATCCAGTCAAATACAACGCTGATGCATGATCCTCATTATGTAATAAGGAAAATGTATTTGTATCTTTTCGATTTAATAAAACAGTGGTACAACCTTTTTCACCAGTTTCATTGATAAATTTTTCATTTGTTGGATCTAATTTCTGTTTTTCTTCAAATAATCTCTGAGCTGTTAGAGTTTCATTAAGAAAATTCAAAACAAGTATCTGTTCTAATGGAACTTCTGAGCCATCAACTAAACCACGAATTTCATCCCAATACCATGGGAATAATAAACGAATAGTTTCAATAAACTCTTGATGTAATTGACGTCCACATTCTGTTTGAATGAATGCGAATAACGTTGATAATTCATCCATGCTATCAGCAATGCGTTGACGAATCCTGTCACATGTTATAACACCGATAGAATATGCGCATTCATAATGGGTACCTTTGACATGATACAATGGTATTCTTGACGAAGTCATCTAATGCTAATTTTTAACAATGAAAACCGAGCAGAAAATCAAAGAAGGAAATTCTTCAACAAAAATTTAAAGATCAAATTAATAAAATAAGATAGAATCTGTATAAAAGTGGTACCACACAAAAATGAAACTCAAAAGCTATATCCATTTCATACAAAGTTCATTCTAAAATATTCACTCTTCTATCAGTTCATCTATTTGAATGAGAGTACTAAATCGTTTTCCAGGTAGTTTAATTAGATATGGCATCATTCAAAGTCCTGAATAGCTTGATCGTCGCAATAGGCTTTACTACAAGTCTTGTAGTACTATATGATAGAAAACAAAATTCTCAATTTCATTTCAAAATAATTTTATTATTGGCTTAATCAGAACCAATGATTACAAACAAATGTCTCACTCACTTGCCCTTTATCATAGGCTGACTGTAGTCTGTAGATGGAAATCCTGACATGAAAATTTCTAACCTTATTTTGCATTACATTATGCGACTGTGCATAAATCGTATAAATAAAAAATATACTTTTTGAATAAGTAACTATTCATTTTCTCAAACTCATTAATATTGCCTTTGATTTTCACAGTTAAATGACTAAAACCATCATTTAATCTTCATACGCTTTATGAATTCATTTTTTATGCTTAAAAATTTTTAAAAATGTAATAACATGTATGTGTGGCAAATGACTTCATAATCACCATTCATTCAAAAATATAATCTGTTATCTGAATTTTTCACTAACTCTAAAATACAAGTACGAAAAAGCAAGATGAACACCATGTATTTTTTGACTGAAAATTAGAGTAAAATATCTCGTTATTCCTGATTTTTAAATTTGTGAGACCCTATATTCGAGTAGTAAATGTACTATAGTAGGTATCTTAAAATGTATTATACTCAATGACACAATATCGTGGGAGTTATTCTGTTTAGATAGAAAAAGATTCTCTGTAAACAATAAAATGGCAATGGCAGAATTTTGGCATAGAATAATTCGTCTGTATGGTTTTGTGTAAATTTACTGTTGATTGACAAATATACGCGTGGCTTCTATCATATTAGTATTTTGACAAACAGTGTCGTTCTATATTAGGTTTTAAGTGGAAATGTTTTGCTATTTGCGTACAAAAATTAATCAGAAAAAGAAAAAGAATGTATTCGATATCTAAATGGATAGAAGAGTGTAGATTACTAATTGCAAGTTGCTATTCCAAATGAGAAAAAGTTACAAAACATTATTATCATTGTCACATAATATTAAACAAAATCATAAAGTCATAAATTGATCTTCGAGTAAAATCGAATATTCATAAATAACACATATAATTCTATATTACTTTTTTTTACTTGCATTTTCATTCCAATCTTGTCATTCAGAAATCTAATCATAAAACAGTTATCGATGTCAGAGATATTTATTACATTATATGGCATTTGATTTATTTTTAGCTAATATTAATTAAATAATTGAGATTAAAAATCAGTGGAAAATAATATATTTACTGAAGAAAAATGGCTATTAAAACAGATTCGCTTGTAAGTAAAACAATGTTGTATTGCTATTGCAAACAAAAAGGAAATATTCATTTTGATGATTCAATTTAGTAAAAGTGACACAGAAGAGACCTGTGTTAATACACAATAAAAATGTCAAATAGAAATATAATTACAACATAAAGAACTTCATCATCGTTGATGTGAAATTAAATTAAAATTTTTATTATATTTTCAAAGCTAAAAATATTTTATTAATTGAAATAAGAAGACGATGCATATTCAAAAAGTATTTAGAAAGTAACTTTTAAAAAGGCTATTGATTAGTTTAAAATAGAAGCGTTACTTATCAACAAAAATACAAAATCTTTGAAAATTTGAGAAACAATAGATTAAAAATATCTTCAATTGAAAGAAAAATAAATGAAAAAATAAGCATAGTTGATAAATTGAAAAAGTATTGTAGCTAAAAATAGGAAAAATTTTAAAAGTCACTATGACACTATTGTTCACTCATGTTCTACATTGATGTTAGTTTTTTTAGTTCTCAGCATGAAATTAGTAGTAAGTTTGAGAAAGACCATGAAGATTATATTTTACTGGGCAAAATTATTTAATCAGATAATAAAGAATAAATTTATTCACAAGTGCACACGAGACTAGATAGTTTTGTAACTCTATTTAAAAAAGACTAGTAAAACAGACACTATTTTATGATTCTAGTAAATTACAATTTCCTTTCTCTATTGTTTGTCTTTTTAAAAGGGAAAACGCATGGCAAGCTTTGATAGTTATTTCTAGGTTCATATTTATAGATAAGATAATTGAGTAAAATTTTCCTAAACAAACACTACGACGCACTACTTAACATGAAACAAAATTATATAACTATATATTTTTCATAAAGAAAGTAGCTAACGTAAAATAATAAATGATATTAGTTAGTTTTTAACTGCTAGTAATTATTATGAATGTGAACGAAGTCAGTGACATTGGAATATGACTGCGTAAATGAACTATGACAGATTTGAATCGACTAAAAGAATGATGCTCTTTTATTCTATTATAAATAGTTCTACATGGGATCAAAAGAAAAAAAGAATATGATAGTCTACTAGTTCATCAGATACAAATATGACTTACGTTTACAAAGTCATTTTCTTTTAAAATTATAAAAGTCATGAAGCAAAGAACAAAATTCATTGAGTCGTATTAGCGTTCTAGATTTCTATTTATATTTTCATTGTCAACCTACGTTTCGCCGCATCTTCTATCGGAACTCGTCAGTATATTGTCATTTTATATTTTAAGTGTGTGATAAACTTCCGTAAAATATCCGTTCTGGAATAATTGAACCCAATAGCTTTAAATATTTTATTATGAAATTCTTCATAATAATACAATCAACATACTCAATGTTTACAGTTCGTGCATTACAAAATCTTTTCAAATAAAACTGCTGCCTGTTTATTGTCAAAAGTAATGTTCGCAAATGAAAACAACTATTGAGTATGTTCTATGTTCGCCGTTTTAATAAATTTTATTAATAACATGACATTGAACTATTGTTTATTTACAACTTTTTTTTATTATAAAATTTCAAGTTATCTTTAATAATCGTCAACGTCAGACATATATACTTCACATGAAACATTATTGTTGACAAGTAGCTATTAAGTTATTAAGAATATTTTAAAATGGACATGCTCTTCTATTCTTTTTTTCTATTCGCTTGTGAAAGAAAACACAATACACAACAATATATTTTCCATGGACCTTTTCAGTTTGACTAGATAGATATTTTAATCCATTGAGCTTACCAAAAACTTCTTTGATGTAAACAGGAGAGTGTGATTTTTTCCTTCGAACAACTATCTCTCTGATGATCTATTGATGATGGCAGATTTTTACTGTGTTTGCAACAAAAACAATTGATTTTATTTTTAAAACTTTTCTCATATTTATGCAGATATTTTACGAAAACAATTTGATTATTTTGATTTCAAACGAGGTTTAGACTCGTCATAGCTTATAGATCATCAAGATTATATCAGTACTATAATTGGTAAGCATAAATATCATCTTTTTTTACAATATGTTATAGAACCGGTAGGTAACTGAATAGAATTGAAAAATCTTATTAGACTGGTTAGTCTCATAATAGATATCTAGGTAAGTTTTATAATAAAAAAATAAATAACATTAGTACAAATGAAAACACCATGAAGCAAGAGTTTCGTACCATACTATGGTGAATAATGCATTAGTTGATTTTGTTTTTCTTTCAATGGATTATTTTCATTATATACTTGTCGGAACTTAAACATGAGAGTAAACGTGTCAAAATTTATGAAATATTGCCCTATTTATCTTAATTACGTTTTTGGTATTTCATCTCCAAAATAGCTTACATGCTGTTGTCTACTCAGCACATGTATATGCAGGCATGTACGCAATCGATGAGTTTGAAGGAGGTTTGTTTGTACCATCGATTCCAACATGCGCTGAGCGTATGGGTTCCATAAAAAGAAAAAAATATTATTCTTTTCGAGGTAATAGACGAACAAATTTGTAAGTAGAGAAAAAAACAGTCAGAAGTTGAATCTAGAAGAAAAACAGCGTATGTATTTTATTGACGACCTTTTCTTCAGACGCTGATGTTTTTAGACCTGTACACATATTTTTTAAAAACAACCCGTACATACGCATCACTTTCTTTTCTTTCTTTTCTTTAGGATTTTTCTTCTGTCTTGTAATGATGAGTGCCGAAAGAATGTAACAGAAAAAAAAACAGAAAGAAAAATCTACCAATCTTCTCGTACTTTGTTTGCACTCTCCCTTCATCTCTCTCTCTCTCTCTCTCTTCCCGCCCTGCCTATTCTGATTCTTTTCAACTCTCAACCGTTTTCCTGAATCGTGCATTTTGCACATACATTTTTCAATGTTTAGCAAGTAAATGACTCTGATTGACTGAATTTCGTTTATCATTCTATTACTAACATAAAATGCTTCTTTCGAATCCAAGTAAGTTCAAGATACCTATTTTGTCGTTAATTTTTACATCAAAGTAACTTCATTTAATGCTCAATTTCCTACATCAGCTTGATGTAAATGAAGAATATCTCTGCTTAAATAATTAAACTAAATTCTTCATTGAACTTCCGCCGATGTCAGGACGACCTCCTATATAGGCGCACGATATATTAGTCGTTATCTTAGCTAAGCAAAAAAGAAACAGAACATTTCAAAAATTGATTGATTAACAAACGAAAAATAGTAGCTGTGAAAGTCTTCATCGTCATTTTATTAGTTGTGATTTACTCTTATATATATATATATATATTCCCCAATGGTCCCACCAAAACATAAACCCCATTTGAACTTATTGTTTTTCTCTATCTATGTATATTGCCTGTCATTATTTATTGTAGTTACTATTAATAGACAGTAAATATACAAAACGCCAACGATGTAGCAGAATAGAACAAAAAAAAAACACTACACGATTCATCGTCAACATAACAAAGAGTGTGATGATCGATGTAGGATTCATGTATTTCTTCAATCTTTAGTTTCAAGATAGTACATCATGCATGCAACATTGCCATCGTTGCATGCTTTTTTTATTTATTTTTTTATATGATCGAACTAAAAAAAGAGACATGATTGATGTGATGTGATGTGATGCGGTTGAATAAGAACGAGTGGATTCGCTGACCGTCTATCTGTTAATAATAGACACTACCATCGATTTTTCTTCTAGATGACGAAACGGTCGGATGCTTTAGACAAGCATATTTCCTTTCAAATTATTTTATCATTGAAAATAAGCAAAAAGAAAAGAAAAGAAACATAAACAAGCGAAAGAGTGCTATTTTATTTGTCATTCATTCCATATTTTATGAATGTGAAATGTTTTCTATCATGTCAGCTTCTGTTTCTCACTTTGCGATCTGTAAGCATTAATCAAAGAAAGTTATATTATTGTTGTTAGTATCTCTTTTTTTTTCTCTCTGTTTCGTTATATATTTGCGTATCTATTTTGCATCTGATCGAGTTAAGTGGAACAGAAGAGAAGATCGCGCGTTTGTCTTTTTGCTTTAGGCCGGCTCGATTATTTGCGGCCTTGTCAACCAGAAAATAAATGATAAAAAAGAACGGAGAAAAGAAAGAAGAATGACGAACGAAAAATCTAACTTGGAAACTAATAATAGTAGTAATAATAGTGATGATAATAATAACAATAATAATAATAATAGTAATTGTTCTCATCATATATATACGTAGTGATTGAGTGTCAACGAGCAGAGCAAATATTATTGATCTATCTGACGAGATCGATTTAGAGACTAGACTAGTGGCTCGTATCGCCACCAACGTCAGTTCTTTTTCCGACAGAATAAAAGAAAAAAAAAAAGGAAAATCCGAGAACATGACTACGTGTTCTATCGGCTGGACATCGTAAATCGTTAATAATTCTTCATTTGTCAATTTTCTTATCGTCATCGTCTTCGGCCATATTTTATTTTCCATCGTAAGTGCATATTGCTACATAAAATACTTGTTTACTTTGTGTTCTGTCCTATTGGAATAATTGAAGTATCCCAGTTTCTATAAAAAGAAAACGATTGCACATAAACTGGTGTAATCTTTTTTTTTTCTTGACATCTGAAGGCAACTGGAAAGAAAGGTGCATAGTGTCACGTTGTCATTTTACTGAAGTATTTTTTCTGCTAGTCATGAATGAGATTTTCTTATCTAACAAGCTAAAAACGGATGTGTTGCTTGGTTTTTATTTCTATTCGTCTAGTTTTGCAATGAATAACAATAAACGTTTGTTTCATAGTCTTTTTTTTTTTAAAGAGGGCTTCATCTTTACACGATGTTGTCTCGTATACAATTAACGACATTAATCTTCTTTTATTTTGTTAAAAACCTTGAAAGAAGCCATCTATAGTACTCGATCGAAAAGTTGGCATACTTGTTTGGTGCCAGAAAAGAAAAAGATGTAATTTATTCACTTGATATCTAGACTGTTTTTCTGCAATAATCATTGTAATCAGGAATATAAGTGTATAAGAAGAGTGAATTGCCCATACCCCACTCTTTTTTTTTTAATTAAGAATTTCAATAAGAATAGATTTAGTAATCCTTCTCAATTATATACTTGCATCTTTTTTTTTTCAATATTTGTGAACCCCAATAGGATTAGCTTTGTTTTCTTTTAATACACTTGACATTTTTTTTCTTTTCACAATAAAGTCTTCGTTTATTCTTGTCATTTTTTTTCTTGTAATACGATTCAATGCGTAAATATTTCGATTATAAAGAGAAGGGGGAAAAGGAGGAAAAGCACGCCTCTATTTATTTTTAATATTCTAAACTCCTACGTGGTAGATTTCTGGCGACAGAACCATTTTCCTCTTCGGCTCTGTATAATGTGTGTAAATCTATATAGGTGAGCTATTTATTCATTTACATTTTTTTTTCTATTTGAATGATTAGTAGTAGATTTGTGCAAAGATAGATTCTCTCCCGCCAATCGTAGCGAAAAAGAAAAACAAGACGCCGTTCATAAATGAATTGTTTGATTTTTCTTTCCGATAGAAATTGATTATACATCAGTTCGTCGTACAGCAAACGTTAAACTGAGCGAGCAAACACAAGAGCCAACATCAGCAAATACCATGTCTACTTCAACATCACTACAAGATATCAGTTCACATCATGCGCAAAAATTTACTTGGAACAATAACAATAATGACCATGATAATAAAAACAACGATAATAAAGATCAGCCATTAGCTCACTTTTATGAGTAAGTTAATTACTATTGATTACTTTTTTTTTCTCTTTTACGCGATATTTTCTTTTTTTCTATCAATAGAAGATTACTGTCATCGAATAGTGACCGACAATTAAACTCATCGAAAAGTGATGAACTTATTTTTGAGCATCCTGAAATAACTATAAAACCGTCAGCACTTGGCGATGAAATTCAAAGACGTTTATTAACAATGAAAAGTTCAAATACAAATGAAAATCTTGTTGAACGTAGTGGAGGAAAAAGTATACCTAACATATTAGAACATCCGGATATGCGTTCACCTGTTGTCATGCAATACCCCCAAATATCTTTATCGTCATCATCATCATCAGTTCTGTTAGTCAATAATAATTGTAAAAAACTTAATCGAACACAATCAGGTAGAATAGAAATATTTATAAATTAGAAAAACGAAAACATTTAATAATAATAATAATAATAATAAAAATACTGTTTCTTTTCCTATAGTTGATAATTCTGTAAATCCAGTTCGAACACCTTCACCTAATATTCATATCGAACTTTTTAATGATAATACTCAAAAGTCAAGTCGGTCTCTTTCATCTAATCCATTTATTGGTGGTACTTTTGAAAGTCTGGAACAAGAAAAGGTAAAATATATACATGCTTTTGTTGTTGTTGTTGTTGTTTTTGCTACAATTTATATTCATGTTTTTATTTTTATTTTATAATAGAATCAAGATCTTTATTCATCATCATCGATAACAACGGATCCTATTCGTGAATATTCAAAATCGAGCTCAAAATCGGATATAAATGCAATTCAACCGGCAAAAAAGGACTCTTGGTAATGATTATCGCTCATCTATTTTATTTTCGTGCTGCTGTTGTTTATTTTTCCTATTTGATGTGTACATAGTACTAATGAAAAAAAAAATGGCAAAAAACTTTATTTATTTCAATAACAAACAAATGAAATATGCCGAGATTATTCAAAGAGAAAAAAGATCAAACTAAAAATTAATAGCTTGAATTTGAAAAATTTTTTAATATTTGATTTGAATTATATTCTTGATTGATAAAAAAAAGTGGGTTACTAACACCTAAACGATATGGTTGATAACGATTCGTAATGCGTTCGCTGTATGGAGTGTCAGAATGAAAGATTGATTGAGGACGAATCGTAAATCCATACCTAACAAGCAAAACATTTGAATAAATTCAGCAATTAATATTTTTAGATAATTTATTTTCATACCATAAAAACCAAATAATAATAAAAACTAACATTAAAGAAAATACATAACCAAATACAATTGCTAATGGCCAAAGATCGGCTGGATTCTTCGAAATTTCATCATCAACATTTGATAACGAATCACGTGATTCAACAGATGTTGGATCTGACTTTAAATAGAAGTCACATCGATCGCCTGTATATTGTTCAGGACATAAACATGTGTAGTTTGTTGAAAACATTATTGATTGGCATGTACCATTTGATAGACATGGATTTGATGTACATGGATCAACGTTACATGATGAATCTAAATAAAAACAAACGCCTTCCGTTAATCAGAAGACTAGAACAGAAATGTTTGATCCTATCTGACACAGCTTTATGATTCATATTTCTCCAGCTGTTCAAACGAGAAAAGAAAAAGAACTGCCGAATAGAGTCTACAGGCAGGCATGAACTACTTTCTCAAAGTGCAAATCAATAATTATGTTGATCATAAGCTGAAATCGCATATTAATGAATAGTTTGACGAATTTTATCAAGTTCGTTTTTGAGGAACAAAGAAAAACAAACTAGTAAAGTTTAAATAAAAAGTCAACTTAACATATACATATGATCTTTTACCAATGGGAAAAAATAGTATTTTCGTTTTCAAAAATCATGACTTGCTAAGGCCAAGGACGAAAGCGAATTCAAAACACACCGACTTACCGTTGCAACTATTTTTAGTAAATTCACAATAGAGACCATAATAAGGTGATTTGCATATGCACGATTCTTTATTGGATTCATCAACCTCAAAGAAAGAAAAAAGTATTTATATGTTTTCATTTTTATTAAGTTATTCTACGTGTACCAAACAAATACCACCATTTTGACAAATACGACTGCATTGCGGATTAGGTGGCGATGATGACGTTAATAATGGCGCTAGAAGTTTGTTTTCAATTAAAAGAATAATTTATGAATAAAAAGAGAAATGCGTACGAGGTTTTTCACAATATTTGCCTGTATAATGAGGTCGACATATACATTGAACATCATGATTTGATTTTGTTATGCAAATACTCTGATGTTGACACGGTGAACTTTCACATGCATTTGTTTCTAAAAGAGTTTTATCGTAACTAATAATTCTCTATTGATAAGAAACTATATCTGGAACATGCGTTTCAGTTTTTCTACACGTCAACTAAACTTACGAAAATGTGCTATATTTAATATTTCTGAATGAATTATAAAAATTTATATTTTTTTAAAGTTGAAACTCAAACACGACAGCTTACCTATTTCACAATAGATTCCAATAAATGAAGATGAACAAATACATTGGAAACTATGTTCAGATCGAATAACGCAAGTAGAATTATGATGGCATGGTGCGCTTAAACACGGCGAATAATCTACAAACAAATAACAAGGATTAAAAAACAACAAAGAATCGGCTTTTATTTGAACTTTACTATTTCTATCAAGTAACGATGGTGGCGCAAGGGATTGATGTGAATCTATTGATCTATTTGGCGTATAATGATCTTCTAACCATTCAACATATTCACGCAAATCATCTGTCAATGGTGTAAGAGTTAAGTTTTTCATTGATTTTATCGCTGTCTTGTCTGTCGATGATAGTAGTGTAGTTAAATGAATCTTTTTGCTTGAGCTAGATAATCCCGAGGTTGCTTCAAGTTCTAAAACAAACATGTCTAACTAAAAACAAATTATTTCTTTTAATTGAAATTCCTACTAGGCATCCCTTGTGAACAATCGATACCAATCCAATGCTCTTCACAAATACAAAGTTCTGTATATAAATCAATTTTTAAGCATTGGCCATGAATACACGGTGTTCGTTCGCACGATGTAACGATGGCTTTGTAATATAAATAGCTTTAAAAAACTAGACAAGTACATGTTTAGTATTCTTACCAACTTCGCAATTTCGACCTATATAACCAAGTCGGCAATGACATCGATAAGCTGCTAATGGATTGATATCCATCAAGTTTTCGCACGTAGAATTATGCAGACATGGATCATTGGTACAGCCATCGTCTTCTATTGAAGTTAGATTAAGAAAATTAGATTGAAAAATAAAATAGAAGAACGAATAATCAAAATTTATAGGTACGTCGTGAAGTTTTTCAGCTGATAATTTTCTCATCTGTTTCTTAGGGGAAAATATACTTTGAAGTACAAATAATTACTCAGATAAAAACAAACTAATGAATAAGTTCTACTACTGTGTATAATATACAAACGAGATTATACGAGGCTTACCTAGCAGTATCTACTGAGGTCTGACCAAAAGTTCTGCAATTTAAAAAAAAATTAAAGAAAAAGAGAAAGTTCGAGTTTTATTTTATTAAATGTTGATGATAGTTGCCATGATTATATATATCAAGTTGAATCCTTTCTAACAATTTGTTAAAAGGTTTTTGAAATGTTTTAAAAAAAAATTAAGGTACCTTGGATGCCACATAGGCTAATCATGTTTCATTTATTTAATTAGTTAAACTGCGTTCAATAGAATTGGTTAGCCAAAAATGACATAGCATCAGGCCTGGCGAGTATGATGGATATGACATTATATTGGTTCCTTCTTTTGTCATCTAATTAATAACATTGGATAAGTACGGAGTCAAAGATGATCGCCAAGCAATTTTGTACATTTTGGCCCTGATATCTCTGTTTGTTTCCATATTTCATTAACAAAAGACGTTAGACAATTTTCAATATAATACTTGTGATCTACAGTCTTGCCTTTATCTACACTGAGGACTATTTGATTTAAAGAATATACTAAACAAAGTTTTGGTTAACATCTATCTTCGTGAATAATAGTCTTCGACGATTCATCTTCAATAAACCAACTAGCATCAGATGACTTATGACTAACCTATCTAAAATAAATCCATAGCCCATCACTAGCAGCGCTAGAACGCAACTGCCATGACCGAACAAAATTTCACTAAATCTTAAAAACAATGAAATATGATTAGCCTATGTGGCATCCAAGATACCTTAAATTTTTTTCGAAAAAAATTTCAAAAAACTTTTAACAAACTGTTAGAAAGGATTCAACTTGATATACGTATATAATCATGGCAGCTATCATCAACATTTAATAAAATAAAACTCGAACTTTCTCTTTTTCTTTAATTTTTTTTTAAATTGCAGAACTTTCGGTCAGACCTCAGTAATAAACTGATTATGCATGAATAATGATATTATATTTGTTCACCTTATCAGAGTATGATTGATTAATTCAATGATATGAATTTACTGCTTAATTACCTTTCTGGAATGTCTAAGATTAAAATAGTTAATCTATTCTACGAACATACGTATGAGACTTCGATTGCAGTTGGGTGATATCCAACCCACATGACAAACACATTTCCCACTCCTTGAACAATCACCATGAACACATGTCGTTTGATTACATAGAAGATCAATATTTATTACAGCTGGACCTAATCAAATCAGTAAAGAAAATTGATGAGTATTCCAAAATAATAATACACCCATTCAATACTCACCTATTTCACACGATCGACCAGTAAAACCTTTTGGACATTGACATAGATAGCTCTCAAGATACACTACACATGTGCCATTATTTAGGCAAGGTCTTAATTCACAAGCTCGTACATCTATAATGAAATAAATAAAATATCTAATATTTTTCTCGTATGACATTCTTTTTTGTTATGTTACCACTAAGACAATCTTGACCGAAGTATTCATGTCTACAAATTTTTACTCCAGTATTCACATCACATTCATAACGTTGTTCATTCGGTGAACAGAATGTTTCACAATCGTCACCATAATAATTCTTAGAACAATAGAGCTTAAAATAATAAATAGAGTATTAAATTAAAAGAAAAACTATCAAATAAAATAACAAACCACAAAATCAACCGTTAAATTTGTATAAGTCCCGAATAAACTTCGAAGATAGATTGTTTGTGGTTGTGCCACTTCAATTGAACGATAAAGTTTAAGATCATTCAATGTTCTTCCGTAAAAGTCAATTGAATCATGAATAGTTTGATTTTTCACGTCATCTATATCAAATACTTCGACAATGAGACCAACACCAGTCTTAATGGAACAAAAAACAAAGATTGAACTAAAAGAAAAACAAGAAATATCGTTTACTTTTGGATAATTAAACTGAAAATTAATTTTCGGTTGAAACCAAACAGAAATTAATGATGATCTTTGTATTTTTTTATAGTTTGACACTGATGATCGTCGTTGTAAATGTTGATCAATATTAATAAAGTGTATATCATCAGCACCAACGAAACCTGTAAAATGGTCACCTAATGTACAATTATGTGGATTTTGAAATGGTAACTGTACGAGACAAAATAGAAATCCTGTATCACATCGACCATCTAGATTAATATCATGTTCAAGTCGTGTATCACAGGGACGATTTTCATATGTTAAACCATTTCGATTTTTATAATGAAGTAAACGCAATGAAAGTGTCACTTCACCTAATGATAACTATTTAAAAAATAAATAAAACTATGTAGAGAAAGAATATTGATTTTTCAATCAATTAGACAAACTTTAAGAATAGCAAAATCATAAACAAGAATAATAATAAACCATTGTACCATGTCGTCCTTCCGCGCATACTCTTTAAAAACAATATGAATAGAATTGTTCACAAGTAAACGTGAAGGATTCACATCAAATAAATACAGAAAGGAGGCGAAAGGTATACATAGTATACATATATATATATATATTTGTGTGTGTATGTATATCACAGTAAATATTGTATACACGCCCTATTCTTCATTTTCTTCCAAATGAGTGTTTACCTTAGGTTTATTAGCCCATATGCGCTTAGGCGATCTTGTCTTCTTTATTTTTTTTTTGTTGTGTACGTTTATATTGCGACTATCAAGCTCAAAGATTGCAATAAGATGCAACTTTGATCTTATCATCATTCTTCTCTTTTTCTTATGGTGTTATCCTTCTTTGTCTCGTATATATACAGAGACTTAATTTGAATCGAAATGATGAAGAAAAGAACAAACGTCTGATCAGACAAACATGCCCATGTATGCTGACGAATAGCTTAATCAATATAGAGCTGTTAGACAACATCATCGTTTATGTTTATTAGAAGTTGTATACAATCTTTTCATCTTGAGAAAGATTTTATAGATGTGATATAAATTTCAATTATATTATAAATATGTCATCTATATAATTTAATCGTATGCTATGGAACAAATAAATTTCACTTCATTAACTCGATTTTCATTCCATTGTTACATCTGTTACTTGGCAGGCTAAACTCTGACAAACAAGAAAAAATAACAACAATAATTGACATATGTCAGTTAAGAATAAACAGACATGTATTATTATTATTATCTAAATGCATAAAAAAAGAAATCTATTTATCAATGGTTCATTGAAACAAAAATATCGCCAACGCTTTCTTTATAGAAGTAAACCAATATCTAGTGATAAAAAAGTCAAGAAATTCTTGACATCCATGTTTCAACTAGAGTCCTGCAGGTCAACCTTGTGCTACCCTACCCTACCCTGCCCTGCAGGGCAGGATAGGACAGGGTAGGGTAAGGTTACAAAAAAAAATATTTAGGGTATAAGTAGGGTGTAGCTCATAGAAATAAAAATTTTATAGAGTAGAACTTAATATATATTTCTGACATCTTTTTGATCAAAAACAGTGTAAAGAGTGATATCATAATCTAAATCGAATGGGTAGAATAACAACGAACGGAAAACAATGGCCTATTCTTTAGTACTATTTTTACATAAGCTGACGCGTTCAGTCACCTTTGATTATTTGTCTAGTAAATGTGCATGTAAATGTAATAAAAAATATCTTCGAAATCATCTCGACATGAACGTATTGTTAGTACAAACGGGCGAGTTTTGGAAGAGAGAAGGCAAAATTTAAGTGGTGATGTTGTAAATGACATTTTACTTTTAAGAAACTTTCGAAATATTTATTAGTGCGGTGCGAAGCACAGCATTTATGTAGTCCTGCGCGAGTTTTCTTTCTTTGTTCCTTTTTTTTAAACTCGACGTCCAGATCATATATTGCTAACTTGTG